TTTCACAATGTTACTTCTATCATCTCTGGCCCTTGAGCTACATCTGCAAGTTTTCACATTTCTTGTGAGCCCTGCCATTTTACCTTTGAAAGTTATTCTTTACAACTGTAGCTGCTCGTGGGGTGGCTTGAGGGAAGAACAGAGGGGAGAGACAATCAATTTATCCAAGCTTAAACATTGTGTCTCAGAGTGGTGTTCAAGCAGGATCATTCCACATGAATGTCTCTTGTTTCCTTTTCTTCAAAACATTCCAGGCCACAGCTTCCTGCTTCATTCTTGCATTTTAATCCCCCTCCTTGGCATCACACCGAGCTCCTGGCATGGCATGAATGATTTCTCTCATTTCCCCCAGGGCTGGGGTTCTGTCATCTGGGGCTGTCATCGCAGAGATGCAAATAAAACATCCTTTGAGGTGAATTGAAGTCAATGTGGCATCATCTGGCCCCTGCCCAGTGGGGATGTAAATGCATTACCCTCGGAAATGAATACATAAATGCACTCCCCTGCTTTGCCCGGCCTTGACAACTACACACCCACCTTTTCTTTCCTGGGTATATGCCAAACCATCTCTGCACTGGCTACTCAGATCCACTTCTCTTCCCATCTCTGCCTCCCAGACACACCCAGTCAGAATTCACCAGCCTCTTTGAGGCCTTAGCCGTTCCAAACTGGAGGAAACAGCTTTTCATCAGTGGGCTTCTGGCATAAGCACCATTTGGCATCATCTTCTCTAATCCTCCTTTTCATCTTGTCAGCCCTCTCCTGCCTGTTCTCAGGTACCCAGTGCCCTGTGCAGATTTGTTATTACTGTGCAGGATTGACCACCTTCTTACCCCTTTTCTGTGCTCCTGGGAGAAAAGCATATAGTCAGCAAATACACACAGATATAATAAGGGACACATTATCATGTGAGTGATACCAAATCATCCCCCAAACAGAGATATTTTTTGAGAAGAGAAGATGATGGCCACACAAATAAATTACTCTCAAATCGTAAACTCTAACTCTGGGCCAGAATGGGGAGACCCTGTTGATGTGAACAGTTTTCCCTGGCATATCGTGTAACACAACTCATCTGAGCAACAGGCACCTCCTAGCTCCTCAGTAGTGGAATCAACAATGGACTGCTCCTATGGTACAGCTAAACTTGAAGGTTTTGGAAGTTTCAGACTCTCTTCAGTACCTATCTCCTTCTCCTTAAACTTATTTAATCACTCCTTTCATTTATTTTATACATTCTTATTGGACACGCATGTCATGCATAGTTCTAGTACTTAAGATATAACTATCCTTTTAGAAGCTTTCAGTCCGGGGTGGAGACAGAAACTTCTGTGTACTGCAAAGCAGCATGATACATTCTGTGAAGAGGTTGTACTCTAAGGAAACAGCGATGTATCCAGCACAGCACTGGGTACCTCCAGGGATGTAACACCCAAGCCAAAGTCTGAATGGCAGGGAGGAGGTATCCAGATGGAAGGGAGAAGTCAGTAATCCAGAGCGGAGCCAGAATATGGGGGTGGGGGTAGGGCATGTAAGTAGTTTGGCACACGTACAGTGTTGGGTTCCTGTGGGGTAAAAACAGCAGCCACAGCACCAGACAATTCCTGAGCACTTACAGTGGGCCAGGCAGTGTTCGAATGCTTTGCATGCCCTCTCCTGGCTCCAGGGCTGCCATCAACACAAGAGTCAGGAAACCTACCATGCTCCTCCTCTGCTGCTCCACCGCCTATCACCCGCAGTCTCACTAGCACAGACTTCGAGAAAGTTTTGGGACTGACCAACTACATCCTGCACCTTGGGGCCATGGATCCCCATGGAAACTGTAGTCAGATAATTATTACCTGGACCATCCCACAAAACTCTGTGCATCACTCAACATCATCCTGATCTCTGAAACCCTTCCGCAGTGCCTCCCTGGATGGGTCGTCCATCACCATCAAAACTTGCTGCTCTTGCCCTGGCCGATTTGGCTCAGTGGTTGGAGCATCAGCCTACAGATCAGAGAGTCCCGGGTTCGGTTCCAGCTAGGGGCATGTACCAAAAACAAAAAACAAAAACGAAAAAAATTTCTGCTCTTAACCTAGTCTCTGAATGAGTGATGTTTTGCATCTTTGTTGGGTTCTTCTAGAAGACCCTGCTCCCACTGTTTTCTCCTAACGCCACGTGTCACAGGGTTCTCTTTGTTCCTCATGGCTACTGCCTATCAGTTTTAACTCGCTCCTCCTTAGCCTTCCTCATCTTCTTTGAGCCATGTCATTATGAACTTCCACTCCTCACTGGAATTACCTGAAGGTCTCTGAGTCACTCATCTTCACTCTTTGAAGATTTTGGCACCAGGTTCATTGTCTCTCACAATCATACCTCCAGTAATAATGGTTGGTGATTTCCATCAGGATCCTTTCCCACCCTGGCCTCTCATTTTCTTGACCTCTAATGACCTTGTCCTTCACCATCCCTGAGATACCCATAGGTCTGACCCTTGTAGGTAACCTCATCCAGTACAGACTTTCAGTGTCAAAGCTTTCTCTGGCTTCTACTGTCTGTCTCTCCAGCTCTCTACCTCCAGTTTTCTGATTCCAGAAATTTCTCAACCCCACCATAACCACCAATCCAGCGATTTTGCCATCATTTCAGGGTTCCTCACCTACCCTACCATATCCTCATTTCCCTCCATGTCCATCTTAGATCTCACAGTCCCTCATGTAACCCCTTCCATGTGTACCCCTTCCCCTCTCTTGCCATTACTGTTCTGTTGTACTCACTTGGGTGCATGATAAACTCAGTTAAATCCAGCTCTCTGTGTATTCTCTTACTGCCCCCAAAGCAGCTGAATACAACAAGATAAGAAAGTGTTAACTAGCCTGACTTTAATTCCATGAGTGCTATCCTCAAATGAACGTTTGGTGTTGCCTGAGGAGCCACCATCATTCTCATCATCATATCTACCTACTCTAATAACCTTCCTTGACCTATCAACCTTCAGGCAGCTATATGCATTTCTCAGTGTAAAAACCTCGATGTCACTACCTCCCATTGCCTCTTCAATCCATTCCTATCATGTTTCTTTTGCCACTGCTCCATCAGCACTGCTCTTATCAGCGTTACCAGTGACCACTGTGTTTCCAAAGCCAGGGTGACGTCCCAGTCCTGTTTTATTTGATCAGTAGCATTTGGCATGGCCAGTTACTCTGTGAAATGCTGTTACTCCTCGATACCACACCCTCATGTTTCTTTTCTCCTTGGCCAGTTCTCCCTGCAGCCTTCTGCTGTTTTCTTCTCATGTTCTTGACATCTAAAAGTATTGCAGAGCCCAGGTTCAACACTTGGCCGACTTTTTGTCTCTGCTTACACAGTCACCCTTGGTGATCTTGTCCAGTGTCAAGTATTAAGCACTACCTCTAATCTGATCATATTTATATGCTCCTCCATGGATGATCGCATGGCTCATTTGATCACTTCCTTCAGGTCTTGGCTCAAATTTTACCTCACAGGGAGGCCTTCCCGGGCCACTCCATACAAAATACTATTCCCACCCACCATTCTGAATCCCCTTACCCTGCTTTATTTTTCTTCATAGCACTTTTCTCCATCTGTCATGTATTTGTTTGTGTATTGAAAGCCTTTTGGGAACAGAAAAATGGTCCACCCTGTAGAGTGCCTTATACATAGAAAACTATCAATAAATGTTTGTTAAATAAAAGCATGATCCCATTCAGTTCTGACAGCATCCCAGCAGTCCTATTAGAAGGGTTATTATAGACGAAGAACCTGAATCAGGTTAACTTATTGTCACACAGACGACAATTCAGGCAGCCCGAGCCTAGAGCGCACAGGTCACCTAGCGTGCTGCAGAAGCCAGAGGGGCATGGGGAGTCTAGATCGCAAAGCTACTTTCACTAGATATGGAATTCATGTTGCGGATAATACGGAACGACTGGGGTGGTTGTGGTGAGGGGGGTGCCTCGCCCTGGGTAAGATGCTGGCCCCATCTAAAATATGCACATAATTGCCTGACTCCAGTTCCTAGGTCATCCAGTCAGGCCAAGTTAGAGGCTACCTTGGCACTTGTTACAAAGTTTAGGCTGAAAGTTGTTTTGTTTTGTTTTTTTGTACATGCTCCTAGCAGAAACCGAACCCGGGATTCTCTGGTCCGCAGGCCGATGCTCCAACCACTGAGCCAAACCGGCCAGGGCAGGCTGAAAGTATATATATATATATATATGTAGATGTATATATTTATATATATAAATTACATATATAAGTATATAAACTATATACTTATATATAAATTATATATTATATTTTATATATATAAATTATATATATTTATATATAGACACCTATATTTATCTACAGATATATACCTATATCTATATCTATATCTATATCTATATCTATATCTATCTCATATATAGATATGTATATCTATCTATCTATCTATCTATCGATCGATCGATAGATAGATAGATAGATATAGATATCTACTTTCTAGCATCAAACTGGCCTGTACTGACGATATTTAAGTCAGACTTAGTAATGAGCTCCAAATCAACTTTACCTCAAGGTCTGTGGAATTGAAAACCTTCCTTGCCGCTTCTGCTGCAGACTGGTAGTTGACTTAATTCCTAAAGAAGCTTATATATTAATGCCCAAGAACCATTTACTATGCTCGTGCACTTCGGACCCAAAATGCTATGACTTGAGCTAGATAGCCTAGCAAAATATTAAGCTGTTTAAAGAAAAAATTATGTTTCAAACCACAGTTAAAGAAGATATGACTTCCAAAAATTTGATTCGGTATTTAAAATACTCACAACTTAAGTATTTGACTTCTTTAAAGTTTAGTGCTTTGTAGATTTTGACCTTTCAGTTACCTCATGTATGGGGAGTTGTAAGATGCACAAGATATTTTTGTGTAGGTAATAAATGCATTTGATTAATACATGCTAAAATAGACCATGTTTCCATGGTGAAATGAACTGCTGTGTTCTGTTTTAAAGGGAACCAGCTGCTCACCCTCCAATACCTCCAAAGCCCAGTTCTGCTTTATCTCCTAACCAGCTGAGACGGGATAATAGGTAAGACCTAGCATGACCTTTACTTGTCTTTGGAGCTACACTTTCAAGATAGAAACTGAACACTCTCCATGCCCAGGAGGGGTTTAAGCTCAGGCATCCTCTAATTTATGTATTAGGAACCAATATGCAAGGCACCCCCCCTTTTTCTCTTTCTTTGCATATAAATATATGTGTGTATATATATAGATATGTATTCAAATATACATACATATATATTTGGTTTCTATTCACGCATAGTTAAGTTTCCCATTAAGAGCTACATTTTCTAATAAAAGGTGTTTTTTGAACTTTGTGTTACTACTAAACACCTTCCTTAGGTTAGAAATACCTTTGGGTAGTTTCTTAGTCTTGTCTTAGCTAAGGAGTTTGTAATTTACTTCAAAACTATCACAAATTTCGAAAAATGTTCTCATTAACTTGTCTCCAAATCAGGAACAAAAGACAGACTGCTTTTCCACTTGGAATCTCTGACACTATATAATTAGTGCCGAGAAACAAATTCAGAGACCTGAAACTCTTGCATGTGTTTCTGCTAAACTGTTTAATAATCTCAAAGCATTTTTCAAAATGAACATTGTACATTTCTATTATTGTGAAATTAAAAAATGGTGTCTCGACGGAGATAGTACATCAGATCCACTTCATGCCCGCCTTTGATTCTTTTGTATTTTTGCTTTTTTTTTTTTTTATCCTCACCCGAGGATATTTTTTCATTTTTGTACAGATAGAATGGGCGGGAGAGAGAGGAAGGGAGAGAGAGTGAGAAACATCGACGTGAAGGGACACATCGAGTGGCTGCCACCCACACGACCAACCAGGGCCAAGGACAAACTGCAACCGAAGTACGTGCCCTTAGCGGGAACCGAACCCGGGTCTCTCCGGACCGCAGGCCGACGCTCTAACCGCTGAGCCAAACTGGCCAGGGCTATTTTTGCTTTTTGATGGTGATTTTTTTTTGACAACACATAAGACAATTCTAGAACTTACCTTCACTAAGAAGGTAGCTTCAGATAGAAAATATTAATTAGACAACCGAGCTATGTAGCATTAAGTATACATCCTATTGAGTTAAAAACCCAGGTCTGAATTTCTATCCAGTGAAACTCCAGGGGGCCTTTGAAATGTTGTCCTTAGGATAAGAGGATACATTTTTAAATGAATCAACAGAATACTTCACTGAATTAATTAAAGATATGGGCCACATTTACAACTATTTATTTGTACAATGGTTGTAATTACACTCTTAAAAATAAATTCTCAAGCTTTTTATCTTACATTATATTTTCTTTTATAACATTGAACAATTAAATCTTAATTTTAATAGCATTTTTAGGGGGCTAAAATAAATTGGATTTAGTACCTCCTAAATTTTAACTTAAAATCAGTGACTCTAGAGCAGTGAACTTACGTAGATTCAAAAAAACAAACAAACTAAATTTCATGGGAATTGTTCTAATCCACTTTTACTACTCTGATTTATTTCTTTCACCAATGATCTTAAAAATAAAATTAGGACGACTTACATGTTTTAAGTCCTGAATACTTTAATCACAGCAAGATGATTTTAATGAAAGACTATGAAAGGGAAGTGTTTCCTGTGTAATTAACACATGTCCTCAGGAGTACAAAAAAGTAGTTGAATATAGCTTCTTGAGAACAGCAAGAATGTGTAAGTAGGTCAATAAGATACTTGGAAAAAGAGCAGAGAAAAGCCTTATATCATAAATTGTGATAGAACCTAACATCGTAAAATTTAATTCTGTCAACTCAGTGTGGTTGATATAGTGGGCATACTGGAAATTTAAGAATAATTTCCATCATAGATGAGCGATTATATTTCTTGATAGTATTCAAATGGAATGTCTTTAAAAAATTATCCCTGTGATGCTTAATAACAAAAAATGATCATTAATCTTTTAAAATATGATATTATTATCTAAAAGAGATAAGTATGAAAATGCTTTATTGATGACTGGAAACTAAAATAAAATAAACATAAAATGAACATATTTAGAACAGATATTTCTATACATATTTAATCGTTAAAAATATATTAAATGAGCTAGGCTAAATTGCAAAGTTAGTATATTGGAGTCTATAACCTCAAACAGGATATGTGGTTGAGTTTTCGTGGTTTGTCATCTCAAATAGTGTTTCAATTCATTTTGATCATTTTGAACATAAATGTTTTCTTATAAATTTAAATTTCACAGAGAAGTGTTTTATCTAATGAACATTATCTTTAACTTTTAAAATACAGGCAGATTTGTCCACCTAAAGCAAGTGTATATACAGAAATCAACAGATCTGCTGAAAGAAACATAAGGTATAAAGAACTATTTCTATATCTATGCAATTGTAGAAATAATAAAGTATGCTTAATTAGAACACATAAAAATACAAAATTATTAATAATAAAATAGACAATTTTCCAGCTGACTTTAATATACTTGGTAATATTTTTATATGTAGCTAAGAATTTTATTTTTTAAATTTCTATTCTAAGATTTACATTAAGAAAACAACCGGAATTGTCTGAGCATGATAATAGAATAAGATTAAACCCCTTAGACAGAAAAACATTCTTCATTCCCAACACTTGTTGCAAGGTTGGTGGTGATGTATAAATAAATAGGTGGAAATACCTATTTTTTATTGAACTTGCCCTACAAAAGCTTTGCCTAGAATTGACTGTAAAATAAGGTCACATCCAGCTCTACCTGCAGGAAGAGGCTCACAAATTACACTGACAACTTGGGGGACGGTCTCCCCATGGCAGTCGTGATTTACACCTGTCATCTTGCACATCTCATCGAGCTTCGTATTTGTTTTGGATATATTGTTACGATTTATTTATTTATTTTTAAATATAAACAAACCTTCTCAGAATTTATTAGAAATAAAAAGAGCATATATATAATAAATAAATACTGATTAGTATATTTACTGATTAGTATATTAGTATATAGGCTCGCCAGCCTTTCCCAGACTGTGTCCCACGTGCCACCCACTGTCCATGCATGTTCCTCAAGACTGAGGAAATACAGCTCGAGCTCTCTGACATGACTTCTCAAAGCCTTCAGTATGCACGTGCATCTCTGAATCTCCAAAAGTTGGTTACACTTCCCAGATTTACTAGACTACAACATTTTTTAATCACGGAATCCTAACCTTTGTCAGGCATTGTCTGTGACACAGAGATCTTAATTACAGGGAAACCGATAAGGATGTCCCCATTATTCCTGTTCCTGATCGAGGATTTAAGCTATCTGTGTACCTGGTCCTGTCATTTACAACATACTTTCCTCCCCTTTGGAAGCCTAAGAAGACAGCACTTCTTCACCTCATGTGAGGGAGGAGTTAATCAGCTGCATATGTTGCTTAATGCTTCTTGGTTCCGGTAGAAAGAGTTCTGAACACACTTCTGTGTTTACTTGTTCAGTTAACTGTATTTTCTTTCCATAGCCTTCTTTAGGCATAGAACTTGGTAGTAGCCAATTCAGTCTTTAGCAGAAACTGTAGTTATTTCAGTGAGCACTAGATGGCAGAACCCGTGCCCAGGTGGAATGACAGAGCGTGGGGTGTGTGTGTGTGTGTGTGTGTGTGTGTGCCATGAGCAGATAATATAGAACTATTTTGCTATTTGGTGAGACTCAATAATTCCTAACTGACACATGAACTATCGCTTTCTTTACTTAGAACAGGTAAGACATTTTAGCTGCTTCAAAGGTAGCTCTACTGGCATTGATTTTTATTTATTTTTCATTCTTTGAAGGCGTCAGGATCTTGAGAACATCGTCAAAGTGGCTACTTCACTTCAGAAAACCGACAAAGGGTGAGATCTCAGAGCTTTGAGCTTGGCTATTTCTTCTGTCTGTGTTTCAGAATGCTTAACCAGTACCTTAAAGTTCCTACTATAAACAAAATTTCAATGTTGTTTATAATATAAAATTAAGAAGAAGAAAAAAAGAATCAGTGTCCATAGATGTGTCCCTGAAAATTGGGTGGTACAGATATTTATGGATACTTTTCTTCTGCTGCTTTCTCTCCTGGTGACTGTATACATTCTAATGACCTCAGCTATCCACGGTCTTGACCTCATTCCAAAACACCAGTCCTGCTTGTCTGTACCTCTATTTATCAGTCTCCCCAGCACTCCCATTTAGAACGTCCCAGGCCATATTCTTCCTTCCCAAAGAGTCTATTTCCTGACTTCTCCTCTATTCTATTATTCATCTTTCTGGAATTATCTTGATCTATCCATGGTTTTTTTTCCCTCTATGTGGTATCAGGAATGTATGGATTAAACATCTAAGGTGTCCCTCATGCCCTCATGGCCTTACCCCTGTTCAAACTCTCATTGACTCACGCGTAGGTTATTGGAGTAGCTGTCCAGATTTACTTACACTCCTCCAGTCTCTGCTCCCACTGGACCATTACTACCCATCCCTGCCAAAGTTATCTTCTTAAGATTCTGCTGGAACAAGACTCCCCTGGCTGCCCAGTGCCCACTCAATTACATGAAACCTCATTCAAGGCCCTTGCTAACCTGGCTCCACCCTAACATTCTAGTTATTTCTGACTTTGCCTTTATAGTTACCCTACATTCAATAACAAATTAAAGTTTGGTATTTCTATAGTTTCCAGATTCTCTGCCTTTGTTTATTGCCATTCTACCCAATGGCAGCCATTTCCAGCCTCGAGATCACAATATCAGTCTGTTCAAGTTCTACCTATTTTTCAAGTCCAGGTCAAAGATCACCTCCTCTGTGAAATCTTCCCCAAGTGATCTAGTGACATGTGACTTCTACTTCTCTAAGCTATTAGAGCTCCACTATTTATATTTTATAACAACTAACCATATTTGATGCTATTTCATCTCGTTGTCTCTATCATCTTTAAATATCTTAGAGCAGATATTTTTTCTCACTCATCATATGACATTTTCTGGGTCTGACCTGGTGCTTTGTGCAAAGTAGGTGTTTATAGAGTATGGGAAGATAATGATGGGCAGTGAGAAAACCTTGAGTAAAAAGATTTCCTATTTTAAATCCTGTGCCTACATATTATTTTGCTTAATGGGATTTAGCAATGCTTCCAGTGTTAGTAGGGATTGCAGTCTCAGTCAAAAGAACTGCGGAGAAGAAACAGAAGTGCTACCCAGCTCTTCTGTGCAAATTCACAAATGAAAGAGGAGCTCCAATCCAGAAGGGAACTCTAGAGAGTATCCTGAATGTTTCTTTTCCAATTCTTTTCTCGTCTATTTAATTTTATTCATTTATCTTTGTTTGAGGTAATATTTTGTTTTTAATAGGGATTAAAAACAGTTTGGGGTGGGTGAAACGGATGTTTAAGAGAGAGACAGGTGAATGACACTGAAGAGAAATTATGGTTTGTCCTAAGTCAAAGAAAAACAATGAGAGCTGCAGTTGGTTGAACTTTTCTGTCTGCTCTCTCCAGGCACAATGCACGAATTCCACAGCCAAATACATTCTTACATTCTTCTCAAAGAGAAGTTGCTGCTTTCATTGGGGGGGAGAGGGGGTGTTGCATCCATAGCTGACTATTGTTACTGCGAGACGTTCATAGGGACTGTATTCATCTCAGCTGCTCTTTGTGATGTTCCTTTGTGAAATGAGCTGTTACTCATATCTGATTCAGAGCATTTAATTTATTGCAAACGCAATGGAGAAACTTAATATCTAAAGCTTTCATCAATTTGAGGTCATTTTAGAAGCTGAACTTCTTCATTCAGGATGTAATCTCCATTTTATTTAATTTACCACAGAGTGTCTCCTCCTGATTTATGCTAATTTTCTTGTGATAAACATGAGCAACCCCCAATCCTGATAATCTCATCGTTGTGACTCATACCAGTCAGAAAGCTCTGTGGCTAAAATTTACAGGATTCTTAGGTTTGTAATTTCCCTGGGGGACACAGAGAGAGTCACAGCCTCAGAGTTGGAAGATAGAATTCCAAGCAAAAGACAATGGGGTATTGTGTCAAGGGACTGGGTAATGTTTGCCCCACATAAGGATACAAAATTAATCAAATTTTTTTCAGTCAGTAACTTTTGTATTTCAGTATTTATTCTCAGCCTTCAATCCTATCATTGAATACATAATATTACCTGAAAGGTTCATCTACATGATTCAATGTGTCTTAAGAATGCCCAAGAGGCCCTGGCCGGTTTGGCTCAGCGGTTAGAGCGTCCACCTGCGGTCCAGAGAGACCTGGGTTCGGTTCCCGCTAAGGGCATGTACCTCGGTTGCAGTTTGTCCCTGGCCCTGGTTGGTCGTGCGGGTGGCAGCCACTCGATGTGTCCCTTTCACATCGATGTTTCCCTCTCTCTCTCTTCCTCTCTCTCCCTCCCACTCTGTCTGTACAAAAAATGGAAAAATGTCCTCTGATGAGGATTAAAAAAAAAAAGAATGCCCAAGAGGATTGCCCCAACAACTATTCTGTTGCTACCTTGTGTTAGGGATCTTCAAAGCACAAAAGTGATTCAGAAACTATACCTCTCTGAGGCTAATCCAAAGTCTTGGCATCTCTAAATGCAGTTAAAAAGTAAATATAGCAACCATTTATTAATGATAATTTTAGTATTAACTGGGAACTGTTTAATGGCCAAAATTAATTTATGGTTTGCAAGCCACCATAATAAGCACTTTACACTCATAGCTTATTGATGATTCTCTGAGGTGGATACAATTAATATTCGTATTTTACAGATGGAGAAGGCAGTAAGAGGTTAGGTAACTCACCCACAGTCACCACCTAACACATGGTGAATTCTGCATTGGAATCCAGGTGTCCCTCACTGGGAGCCTGAACGAGTTCCTGGGCTTCACAACCTCCTGGCTAACACCAGTAATGAATCAAGAAAAAAAGAGAAAGTGTAAAAAACATGTGATTCTAGATCAGAAAGCAGAGAGAACCAAAATTTGTGAGTTGAAAAACAACATGAGGAACACAAGGGAAATGGGAGCAAAGTGGGTGGACCTGAGAGGAAAGGACAAGCTGGGCGGAGCGAAGAGGAACGAGAAGCCCACTGAAGCTGCCTTCTTCGGGAGAGAGCCGACTCCTGCGGTTCTAAGAGATATTCTGGAACCCAGGGGGTTCACTTAAATAGGTTGCACCCAGAGAAGCAGCCAGTAATGGCTTTACAGTTAGTTCTCAAACATGGAAATAGGATGCCAAATTCAGCCGGCCTGGAATGAGGTTGAGTAGAACTCAAGAAAGTAGTCAGACTTACCAATGAACAAGCGTGTTTGAATAGCTGCCTTGTGCAAGTACACTGTGCAAAAATAAAATCTATAATTAGTCAATGTACCTGAATCTGTGGATTCATTAAAAACCTGTATTAAGCATCTACCAAATGAAAGACAGTATAGAAGGACTGAAGAGGATCTGAGGTAAAATACAGTTCTAAATTTTAACTGGTGTGTGTGTGTGTGTGTTTCTGCCTGTGTGTGCTTGTATGTGTAGGAGCAGAGGCAATAATATGAGACAAGTGTGCAATTGCTATCTTACCTGTATAGTAATGTAAGTGTTATAAAGGAGATGCAAAGAGACAAAATGCTGCAAGGATCCCCAAAATGGAGGGTACTAGCCCTGGCTGGTGTGGCTCAATCAGTTGTGCATTGTGCACCAAAAAGTTGCTGGTTTGATTCCTGGTTAGGGCACATGCCGGGGTTGTGGGCTGCATCCTGAGTAGGGGGCATGCAAAAGGCAGTCAATTGATGTTTCTTTCTCTCTCTCCCTCTCCCTTCCTTTCTCTCTAAAAATTAATAAACATATTTTAGAACTTGGAGGGGACTATTCATTTGGAAGACTGGGAACGATTTCCTGGAGAGATAGGTGTTTGAGGACAACTTTGAAGGATAGGCAGGATTTTCACAGGTGATAAGGCAGGACATGTGTTGTATTCCAGAAGACTCAGAAATAGTTGTTTGAAGGTGAATGTGCCCTTTGACTCTGGGCAGGCTTTTACTGAAATGAGATTTATTTTTTTCTCTTCCAAAAGTGAAGAATTGGATAATATCATCGAAAAGAACAAAAGCTTGAATAGGTAAGATTTAAAAACATTTTTTTTCTTGCTTTATTACTGAATCACATATCGTCACTTATGTTTTTTTAGTATTGAGCATGAGGACACACTTTCTGGGCTAGTGAAAATTATCCTACAAATTTTGAATAAAAACCTTGCAGAAATCATCATTTTATCATTATTATGAATGGTTATTACAACCTAAAGTTTCTAACGTTCAAGTGACTTTGATGTTCACACTCCATTTGTTTAGTGAAGTTGTTAAATAAATGACCAAATTTCTCTTTCTGAAATAATAATATGTTAGTATGTAAATGAGTTTTGGTTTGATCACTAAATGCTGTAACTTTAACCATTATAAAAAACACTTATTATCTTAGGTAGCATTATCTCCTTATTTTGAATTATTCATAATTACATACTTTAAAGATTATAAAAATTGAGGTTTGTGATAGAGGTATGTGGAATTTTGGTTATCTCTCTGTTACTTTGTATTCTAACACACTGAAGGGACAGTAACCAAAGAAAAGGAGAAACAAAGCAAATGTCAAATGGGTTAATTGACTAAGAGATGTGGTTTACATACCCTGATCTGACAACAATAATCCATCCACATGATTGACTATCGACAACTCGATTCAATTGGCTTCTTTTTAGTTTTCTCTATAAAGAGAAGAGGGTATTAGGTCATGAATCACAGACTCCATGGCCTATGGAGGCCAGGCAGGTGTGAATGGGTGAAGGGAGCTGACTGTATGAAACAGAGGGGAATGCCCTGTCCCAGGAGCCCTGCTGCTTCCCAGCTCCAGCTGATTGTTGCCCCATGAGGGTCTGAGCCTTGCAGGATGTTTTCAGGAGGTCCTGAAAGTTGAGGTTTCGGTATGTCGTGGCCATCTCGTCAGTATTGAATCACATTAAAATGAAAAACACTCCTTGAACCCAAACAACACATCTATGTACCTATTATAGGTTGTGTGTCCCCAATTTGTAACTTTTATTTTCTGTAAGATCCACTGCAATTTAAATGGTGAGTCTACGAAAATAACCGTTTAGAAGAAAGTAATTTCAAGTATTGTGACTCATCTTTCCCCACAAGCTTCTATTTCCTGTCTTAGATGTAAACTGGTCTATGTTTCTATAGAGTCAAGTATCTATTACTACTACTGACAAGGTTTTTTATTTAATACATTTGAAGAAATCAAGGTCTTGATGGCATCTTCAGAGCAACTCCTAGGGCAGAGCACATGGAGAAAAGGTAAGTGCATCTATCTCTAACCTGGAAATGTGACCTCCCAGAGTGCTTGTTTAATTCTTTCAGACATTAGCTGGAAGGGAGTTGTATCCTCTGGCATGATAATGAACCAGTATAAGGGGTAGTGCCCTCAGTATTGTACATTTAGTTCAGACATAATTGCTTAGAAGGATTTCTGCTTTTATTCACAGAGAATAAATGAGCAATTCATGAAGAGTGTTTATTGTATCTGACCTTTCAAGATACCACACAGTTTTATTTCAATATGCAGTTTTTTATTTGAATTTTTGTTTCTTTTACAGAGCCCAGAGCCTTGAGAGCCTCATCTTTCTGAATAGCCGGGCAAACAAAGATGGCAAAGGGTAAGGTCTGATTAAGACTCTTCCAAGCCTCATTGATTGAGTCCTGGACTGCAGGGGGAGACTGCGTGCTCAGAACAAGGGTCAGAAAGGCTGGTGGAACGGGCCCCCAGTCAGGGTCAGGAGATGGGTGCATATCTTGAAGCTGGCTCTGCCACCAACATCAATCTGGGTGACCCAGGGCAAATCACTTAACCTCTGGAGACCTCTGTTTCCTTATCCCATAAAACAAAGGCTATGACCTAGATGACCTCCAAGTTCCCTTTTAATCTAATGCATGGAAGAAATCTGGCGGATACATGTAGTGGACAATAGACTAGCTTATGAACTAAATATATTATAAGACATTTGAAACTGGGAGCATAGCCCTTTACCACTGAAATCTTTATGATATACTAAGGCCATTTTCAGTTGAAATCTTGATTGAGTCACTTCATATGTATATTTCAAATATTATTATAAATATCTCAAAGTCAAGAGCTATGCTTTTATTTATTTTATTTCATAAAAAGTGTTAATGAATGATCAGTAACTCAACTGATGGCATTTAAGTTATAAATTCTAGACGCTTACTGATGTACTTGAAAATTGACTTATGTTATTGATATTATTTTTTCATGTTGAAAGACACCAAACTCTCAACAGTGGCATTAAAGAAAACCCCAGAACAACCAAGAATGAAAAAGGGTAAGGATTTATGAGAGCTCTGTTTTTTTCCTCATGTTGGCTGTTCACCTTGGATTTAGTCAGTCCTTAAGTTTGCCTTCCTAACATAATAATTGTTTCTGTTGTCTTGGTTATCTTTGAGAGTTGTTTGTCTGTGCCAATCTGCATACAGAATGGACTTCGGCTTCCCACGCCACTCTTGGCAGGTGCATTCTTGACTTTCTCGAGCATAGAACACTGAAAGTCTGTTGGGTGCAAGTGGTTACGATAATAATCCCACCAGCATTGAATGCTTTTTAACAATTATAATGTACATATGCAAGGATTATTCCAGGTTAATTGTTTTCAAGTGGATAACAGGTGAAATGGGGGAAATAGTCAAGTCTCTGTAAGTGGTTATATAACCTGCAGGAAAAGATGAGGTTTCAGATATTTAAAAAATGAAGTTCAGAAAGTTCCACAAAAGTAGTAGAGCATAGGAAAAGTAGGAGGAGCATCACAAGTAATCATTTTGTGGGCTAGAAAGGAGGAGAAAAGAAAAGGGATTTGTAATGTGGGGATAATTTAGTAGCAACCGAGATTTAATACGGGAATGACTGATCCTGTTGGTGTAGTAGGGGGAGTTCATAGTTCCTTTCCTCTCTTCCTCCCCTCCTTCTTTTTTATACTGAAAGAAATGGAAATGCCAGTAGTCTTACCACAGTGGAATCAGAGATAGATGAAAATAGCAAAGGGAAATGCTTGGACAGTTGGGAACTTGAAAGGGATAAGTTCTTATATTTCATAATAGTTTTATGCTATTGGCATGTGAAAATTGTATTGGCTATGGTCATTTCATATAAAGTACTAGAGCCATCGTGAAGTAATTTCCACTCTTCCAAAATTACTTCAGAAGCTTGAACTTTTTATTAAAAATGACTTCTTTAAATATTCAGCGTGTTTAGATTTAAAATGTTGATCATCTAATTTCTACCCCTGATGTGAATGATTTTCATGTTTAAAGGAGACAGTGTCTCAAAAAATATATTAAAGTTAGGTTCCCACCAATTCACCCATTAAGGACAAAAAAAGAAAAAGCTGAGAGCTGGAGGGGACTTATGCTTTTAAATTAATTTAACCATAACTGGAGAATGATTAGGACCTTACTGTTAGGATATTTTCTATATCTCATCAGCATTTTGCATGAGTAGAGCCACTTGAATTAAGTATTTCTAAAGGACTCCTGATGCTTTAGGTACTGATAACATCTTACACCTGTTGTGAGAAATCTGCTATCCTTGTAAGAAATTGAATTGTTCTCTCTTTCTCTGTCGCTCTGCCCCCCACCGCCATGTTATAAAGAAACCAAAGCCTTGGAAGTTTTATCCAAGTTAATCAAAGGACTGACAAAAACGAGAAAGGGTAAGTAAAACTCCTAATTTAATGGGCTCTCTTTTTTTCACGTTAGCTTTTTACACCTCATTAGAAATGAGAGTGTTATGTTTCCCTCTGTCACAGATGAAGTTGCACATTTAGGCTTATTGGAGATAGTAGGCAGGCATAGGGTGAATGCTGTTTACATAGGACCGCAAGTTTGAGCTACATTAAAGTAAGTTCAGGAGCCCGGCTGGTGTGGCTCAGTGGATGAGTGTTGACCCATGCACCAAGAGGTCACCAGTTTGATTCCCAGGCAGGGTACATGCCCAGGTTGAGGGCCCGATCCCCAGCGGGGGATATGCAGGAGCCGGCCAGTTGATGTTCTCTTTCATGATGTTTCTGTCTCTCTCTCTTTCCTTTCCTCTCTCTCTAAAACAATCAATAAAGAAAAAAAATATTTTTAAATAAAGTTCTGGAAAACCTGCTATATAATTTCTTATTCTGTATCTTCTTAAAATGAGCCAAATTTTATATTGAAATTAAGAAGTATAAAGGACAGCCCTGGCCAGTTTGGCTCAGGGGTTAGTGTCAGCCCACGGACCAGAGAAACCTGGGTTTGGTTCCCGCTGAGGGCATGTACCTCGGTTGCAGTTTGTCCCTGGCCCTGGTTAGGGTCATGTGGGGGGCAACCAGTCGATGTGTCTCTCTCACATCGATGTTTCTCTCTCTTTCTCTTCCTCCCTCTCTCCCTTCCACTCTATCTGAAGATGAATGCAAAAATGTCCTTGGGTGAGGATTATATATATATATATAAAGGACAAAAATCACAAAGTGAGAGATATGTGAGCAAGTTGTTCTAAACCGACTTAAAACCAATGCTGCTGTGGGAATTAATAAAGATAAGCTAAGGATAACTACATGAAAGCTTTTTATCCTTAGCTCATCTGGCCCTGGAAACATCTGATACCCTTTCAGGGACATTCTTATTTATGTGGATTTCAGGTAAAATTCAGATGTGACCTAACTGGCATAACATTTCCATGGTTTTCCAAAGAAGTCAAGATCTTGAAACAATTATCCAAGCAGAAGCTAGAGCAGATAACACTAACAGAATGAGAACTGCTTTGATGGTTCTGAACCTTGGTCGTTTTCAACCAGATTAATTGTTAGATCTCAGTGATGTTGAGGGGTCACATCTTTTAAGTTTGTTTTCTCTCTTCTGTATCTGATCCCTACTGCCCTGGCCTTCACTGTGAAGAGTCCACAGTACATTTTATGTGAATTTACATTTACATGTAGCCCAATTAAATCCCAAAGATTAATTTAACTATATTATTTATAGGCAATTTTATAATAAAAATAAATTTAATATCAGTATAATTATTTTAAATCTAGAATTAATCATTAATAATTGTACACACACACACACGTACACACACACACAATACTTTGAAACTGATCTAAACATCTTTTAAAGAGATGAAGACCTTGATAGTGTTATTAAAATGAATCCCAGAGGAAGTGAAAATACCACTGGGTAAAACTTCTTAGTGATTAAGCTCTGATTTCTGTAAGTGACTATTAATAAGACAGAATGGTTTGTCATTTTAACTTTCCAAACATATTTTATTAGCATGGAATTGGAAAATAGCAATGGACTACATGACCTTCTCTCCTTGCTTTAAAAACAAAATCACTTATTTTTGAGGAATTGTTCCAATGTTGCCTTTTCTCCCAGATTTTGGACTTTGATTTGTTTTTAAGGATGAGTTACTAAATTGAATCCTTGTGTCCAATGAAAGCACAGTGTAGAACATATTTTCAGAGTAGATCTCCAAAATGACAAAGGTAGCCAAGCATGAGTTTGACTAAAACTTTTATAAATAAGCCTCCCTAAGGGTAGTGGTCTCAGAAGGCAGCCAGTGGAGGGGCTGGGCAAGTACACACACCTGGAGCAATGACATCCTCCTGCTGCTCTTCCAGCCTCGTGGACATGGCAGCAGTACTTAATCACAGTGTTTTCGCCATTCTCTGCTGTTCCTTGTGGGTTCAGGTTCTGTTCCTTTTGGTCTTACTCAATGAATTTTAATCGAGGGAACATATGTCCTCTGAGAAGTGAGTCATTAATTTTTCTGCCATCTAAAGTACTTTTTTCCCTCTTGTAACTCACCATAACCCAATTATTTTTAAAAGGTTTGAGTTCAGGGAATGGTTGAGTTTATATAAAAGCATATATTCTTTTTAAAATTTCCTTTTTCCTTTTATTGATTTTAGAGAGAGGAAGGGAGAGGGAGCGAGAGATAGAAACATTGATGAGAGAGAACATTGATTGGCTGCCTCCTGCATGCCCCACACTGGGGATCGGGCCCTCAACCTGGGCATGTGCCCTGACTGGGAACTGAACCGGCGACCTCTTGGTGCATGGGTCGACACTCAACCACTGAGCCACACTGGCCAACTAAAAGCATATATTCTTATTATTTAAAAATATTTATTATTAATAATGTTTATTAGTTTTAATGTTTTAAACTTATCATTATTATTCACATTACTCTTATTTAAAAAAACAGAATAGGAAATTATATGTGATTTCTTGAGTAGAAATTTATATTCTGACTGGATCTAGTATAGAACTCTATCTCATTTCAATGCTGACCATTTTGAGTATTCTTACAAGGTATATCTGAGGGCAAAGTTGATTTTGTTAAATAACAAGTTTCACATATACTTACGCATTTTGAGAACAAAAAAATCCCAAAAACATGTTTCTTGTTAACAAAAAAGGAAACTTACATGGTCTTTTGCTCAAGATATAAGAGAATTTTCATTTGCCTTTAGAGCTTGAAAAACTACGATGATAGAGAACTTGTATATTTACCACTTAATTTTTCCAAGCATTGCTCACTTGCTTAGTGTTTTATTTTAATACCACTTATTTCCTTACTCAAAGAAAACAAGACTTCAATGGGCATATTAAAGTGAATCCTGAAACAAATAAAAATATCAAGAGGTAAGACATTTAAGTCCTTTTCCCTCCCTTTGTCTGGCATTTGTTGGCATATTAACATTCTGAGTGCTTGCATTCAGGAGAGTAAATTGCAAATTAAGCCAAAACAGAACTCTCTTTCCCTGAAACATATCATATTAAGCAATTCTATACAACTGATACACAGAAATGATCTCTTGCATTTTGTTCTTAGGTGAAGTTTGCTGTCAGGTAGAATTTTAAATATTAAATGGGAATTCTGACTGAGCTCTTCTGAGCCATGATTTATTTCTTTGTATGTATGTATGTATGTATGTATGTATGTATGTGTAGTGCATCTATACACGGGGGGGCGGAGTGGGTTTACAGTTGTTTGTATGGAAAACAATACCATAATTAATAAATAATAATACAAGAATAAACTGTTTCATATACTCACAACTGTAAACCTACTTTTGCCCCACCCTGTACTATGTGTATGTGTGTATATATATAAGTGGTGTGTGTGTCTAAGTGTATGTGTATGTATTAATTAGGGTTACTTAATGAAGCAAAACCAGTAAGAGATAGATAGGTATAGATAGATAGATGGGGGAAAGAGAGAGAGGTTTATTCTAAGGAATTCGCTCATGCTGAGAAATCTCCAGCTCTGTATTTAGCCAGCCAGAGACCATGGTGTAGTTCCAAGTCCAGCTCTGAAGGCCTGAGCACCAGGAGCACAGATGGTATAAGTTCTAGTCCAAGGGCAGGAGAAGACCGATGTCACAGATTAAGCAGTCAGGCAGGTGAAGTCCCCTTTCACTCAGGCAGTTTGTTCTGTCAGAGCTTCAGTTGATTGGATGGGGTCTGGTCATGTTCGGGAGGGCTATCTGCTTTACTCAGTTTATGAATTCAAATGTTAATTTCGTCCAAAACCTCCTCACAGACACATGCAGAATAATGTTTAACCAAATACCTGGGCACTCTGCGACCCAGTCAAGTGGAAACGTGCAATTAACCATAACAATGTGTGCATATATAAGTATATGTGTGTTTGCGCATGCACGCACGTGTGTGTATCAGTAGTGTATATACATGGGTGTGTAAGTAATATATGTGTATATATATGTGAACTGTCTTCACATCTGTAGTGTATTTGCGGGTAGCATGTGTTATGCGTGTGAAGCATGGTGTGTAAGATGAAGAGCTTAACAAAATGTACTTCATTAAGAGTTCTCCTACCCGTGAATTGTCTAGTGATTCTGGAAAACTCATGTCCTCTGCTTTTTATTTTTTAAAAAGCAGATGGAAATAGATTTGAAACTGAGCTTGTTGGCATGTTGCTAAAAACAGTGTACCAAATAATTCCATGTGGTTTTAGTTGAACTCGTTTCCATTCAGTTAACTCAGGACATGATATTATTAGATTCTAAAATGTGTCACCATTGCCTGCAGGGCCAGTCTGAGAGCAAGGACTTGGCCAGCTGGGGCACTCACTGTCAGCCTGTCCTGTTCTCAGCAGCCTGGCTTGGTCAGAGGCCTAGCGATTTACACAATTTTGTAACCAACAGATTAAGAAGAAAGCATTGATTTCTTTGGCTAGTTGGGTGGTTCAGGGAGATAACTTGAGATAGTGAATGTGAAAAAGGAATCAAAAGACCTGAATTTAAATTCTGACTGTCACTGGCTAGCTGTCTCCCTGTGCCTCAATGTACTCATCTATAAAATAGGAAGCATAATACTATCATGCCTAGGACATACTAGATATAAGTAACTGTTAGCAGTAATAAAGATCAGGTGAATTATGTTTTCTTAATGACTTAGATACTGTTCAAATATTTAATTTACTTTGACTCTCTAAGAAAAATCCATGTTTTCCTTTCTAATTTCTATTAGAGTATTTCAAATCATCACCTGTTTTTTTTTTTTCCACATGTTGGTGTGTATGTGTGTACCTGCATGCCTGTGTATGACATGTGTGCACATATACACATGTTTATGGGGAATCATGTGTGTATGATTATGTGTGCAGTATTCTGTAGACCTTTAAAAAGTAAAATAAAATTATTTTTCCTCCGTTATTAAAAACTCTCAGTGTTATCTCATTCAAGTAGAATAAAATTTTAACCCTTAGCAATGGCCTTTTACTTACTCAATAAAGTTCAACCAAATTGATCCTTTTTCTCTTCCAGGCTCATTCCTGCCTCATTGACTTTAAGAACTTTGAAAGTTTCATAACCTTACACTGATATGTACTTTATGTAATATGTTCAAAGAGATCAAGGTCTTGGCCCTATAATGAAGGCAAATCCCACAACCAACACAAATATTACACGGGAGGAGTTACAATGCTGATTGTTGGGTTGTTCTTTTGAGTACTTAAATCTGGACATAGAATCCAAAGAATTATATTTCCAGTCACTGTCATTTAAAGTTCACATACTTTGTTTAAGCAAAAACCAACAAAGTGTTTTAAAAAATCAACAAGAGATATTCTGGAGTAGAATGGCTATTTCTGTTGGGTTAATTGCTTCATTGTTTGTATGAAAAAGGTTCAAAAATTATTTTTGCTGCTTTTAGCCTGGATATACACATTCTCAGACATTTGGATACAAGTAAAAACTTGAGTGAACTTCTGGTTGCTTCCAAATATCTGTATCTTTGATGTATACACGCAACCACAGAGAATTTATGATATGATCTTAGTAGGGCCACAGGGCATGGAGAAATGGTGAGAAAAGCAAAATTCCATTAAAATCAGAAGCAGGTCTATTAAAGGGTAGCAATAAAGTATTGATGTGTCTTCAGTGACTATGTTGAGTTTTATATTGCACTAAATATATTTTATATTTCATAACTCCATAGATTTTAATCTTTTTATTGTTTGTTGCCAACACAGAACTAGTCAAAAATTGTAGTTTTATCACACAATTATAAGTACCAGAAGCAGATACCAGGTTATAGATTACAGACTTTAACAAACTGGTATATTAATCTTATCCCATTGTAGAGAATAGCAAACTTGCTAAAGAATGCCTTTTACAAAATATGTATTCTCCAAAATTGATTTGAAAGTCTCACAGCACGTTGAAGTTTGATATTAAGAGGATGCCTTCTAGAATGTTCCAAGATACACACACACACACACACACACACACACACTATTTAGTGCACCTGGCAAAGGTTAAGAGTATAGCATTAAATCAGTCATTAAAGTAACAGAGGCCCAGTACAGCATTTGCTTCTGGCTTAATGGCTCCAAGATTAAAATATTGTGTTGCAGAGTCTCAGTGACTTTTAGAGATGTATATGCTTTTACATTCTCCTGCATAGTCACCTTTAACAATCTTCAACTCTTTGACATGATCTCAGAAAGTGTTTATACTATTTCTGAATTTTAATAAATAATTTTACCCACTTATATTAATCTCTCATAAATCTCATCATTTCTTTAATGTTTTAAAGGGGCCAGAGTCTTGACAATCTCAACAGAATGACTCCTGAAGTAAACAGAAGTAACTCAGGGTGAGAATTATGTCTTATTTTCCTTCCTTTTCCTTCTGCATCAATCTGTGGAAAAGCTGTGTTGAAAATCTTTGAATTGGGAACAGACAGTCTGGACTCCATTATTTGTCACATAGGTGCCTCGAACACACTGCACTTATGCTTCTTTAGTTTATAAAATGAGGAATAGCTTGGCCAGAGTGGCTCAATTGGTTGAGTGTTGTCCCATGAACCAAAAAGTAATGGGTTCAATTCCTGGTCAGGGCACATACCCAGGTTTCAGGCTTGATCCCCAGTGGGGAGCAGGCAGGAGGCAGCCAATTGATGTTTCTCTCTCACATCGATGTTTCTATCTCTTCCTCCCTCTCCCTTCCTCTTTCTGTAAAAAAATAAAATAAAAACAAAATTTTTAAAAAGGCAAATAAATTGAGGAATAATGTTTCTCCCTTTAAAGCAAAAATGTACCATAAATATAAATTAATAACAAAATAGAGTATAGCTACAGTGTTAGATGGAATATTTAGAAGGGCCAGGTGAGAGTGTTTGGCAAATCATTATATAATTCCTGAATTGATTTTTTAAAAACTCAATCTTGCCTACGTGTATGGTTTTATTTTGAGGGTAAATGAGAAACTGAGCTAGTGTGTCAATGATTTGTATACAAGTCAATTTTCTTTATACTCTTTTAAATGAAGGGCACAGACTGTTATTAATTGAAATACCAAAACTTAATAGTATACTTCATCTTGAGTACACGTATTCTTTAAATTAAACTACTTAGTTGATTTAATTTCATTTTTACTTTCTGTGTGTTTGTTTGCTTTTTTCTTTAAAGTTCCAAAGACCTTGAAAACCTCATCAAAGTAAATCCAAGAACAGAAAGAAGTGTGCAAGGGTAAGATTTAATAAGCTCTTCATTTTTGCTTTATGCTGACCAGTGCTGAAAATAGAATTCAATCATGACTTCAGTTTACTGACACTGGACTCGGTGAGAGTTCAAGAAAAGCCATGTAACCTCCACAACCTTGTATCTAAAATGTTAACAATTTTGGTCAATTCAGTGAAGCGTTGTTAATCCAGGATGGATAGGATGCTTTTATTGCTTGATTTGTTTATTTTCCTTAAGCAGAGGGATGGCACAAGAGAGGGAAAGAGAACTGGACTGGAGCCCGTAGCTGTGAGTCTAGGCCTGGGTCTGCCCTCACTAGCTGTGCGAACAGGATTGGTTACTCCCCCTGTTTGGGCTTCAGTGTTCTCATCCTCAAAGTGAGGAAGTTGGACCAAGTGCTCTCTGGTTACTTCAAACACTAATTTCGTGTACTGTGTCCCAGTAAGATGGTTGGAGTAATAGAAAGTGCATGCATCCTGGAGTTAGATTACTTAGCTTTAAATTCCAACCTTGCTGCCTGGCTGGTGTGGCTCAGTGGTTGAGCATTTACCCATGCAGGAGGTCGCTGGTTCGATTCCTGGTCCAAGCACATGCCCAGGTTGTGGGCGAAATCCCTAGTGGGGGGCATGCAGGAGGCAGCCATGTAGGAAAACCTTAATCTTTCTGTGTCTCAGCTTTTCCCTTCATGAAGATAGGATGATGGTTCTCCTATGTCATAGAGTTGATGTGAGGGTTAAATCACATAAATTAAGTAAATCACTTAGAACAGTGCCTGGCACGTCACAAATTGCTGAAGAGCATTAGTTATTATTTATTAATTTTATGTAGTTATAGTCAGGGCCAAAATATATATACAGTCAAAGTCAGCATGGAAAAACCCCAACCCTTGGAGATACCTCTGTTTTAATAAATAAATATTTCATAATAAAATATTTTTATAATAAAAATGTTTCTAAGTGTTCATAAATATTTGCAACTGCATGATGTAAACTGACCATTGATCTGATCATTTCTATAATGTTTTAAAGGGGCCAAAGTCTTGACAGATTCATCAAAGTGGCTCCTGAAACAGACAGAACTAACCAAAGGTGAGGTTCATTGAAGTCTATCTCTCCTCCCTCTTTTTTTTTCTATTCTACTGAAAAAAAAAAATGATAAAATTTATTGTCGCATCATGGAGACAGCCAGTGACGGGCCTCAAAATCAACTCTGTGTCAGCAATCTGATATTTAAGTCCTTGCTCAGGGCTCCCTGGATGTGAGCTTTAGTGGAGGAGAGAGAATTCTTTAAACTATCTCTTATTAGTATGGGATTTGCCTTCCATGCTTGGGATTTTCTCAAAATGAATTGCCCATGATATGAATCATCATCCCAAAACAATTTCCTAGAGCTAAGCAGTCTAAAGAAGGTTTTCATGTGAAGAAAACTTCTCCTTCCTTCATCTATTCCCTTCTCTTACTGTCTACCACTCAAAAACACTAGTTAGGTCATTTAAAAAATTATTCTTAGTTCATTGAAATAATAAGGAATACAAAAAACGACATTTGTCTTTTATAGAGAGAGAATTTTCTCTAAGACACATCATGTTCACTAAGCAAAAACATGACAAAAACCATGAAGCTATAAACATACATTATTATGATAGTTTGAACATGAGTTAAATGCAAAAGATACTAAGAGATATATCTTCTTTCTGATAGATTTCCTATCTTACTTTGCATATAGAAATGCTCTTTTTTTTCACACTATGTAGTTATCTAAAATTTCTTAGGTCAGATCAGGGGTCAGCAACTTTCGCTTAAAGGTCTTGACAGTACATATTTCAGGTTTGGGGGTCCAAAACAGTCTCTGTTTTAACTAGTCAACTGGCAGCCATAGATAATACATTATAAATGAATGGGTGTGGCTGTGTTCCAATAAAACTTTATTTACAAAACAAGACTGCAGGCTGGATTTAGTTTGAGGGTCATAGTTTGCTGACCCCTGGACAAGACAGTAGTTTATGTAGGTGGGAAAGATGAATTCTGAATGTAGTTGGGGCACCTTCCAAAGCACAACCTGCTACCCTCCCATCCCCACCCTTTGCATATATTTTCATTCACTTTATGGTTACCCCAAAATTTCATCACTCTTTTATCTGAATATTTAATGCTAAATTGTCCTTTGATTTTTTTCCCCCACCAAATAAGAATATAACATTATTGTCATCATCTGGGGGGTCAGATACTGAATCTAGAGACTATATAATACTTAACATTGCAGATTAAGATTCAGTGAAAGTTCGGTCTCCCTTGTTCCTCTTCCAAGAGGACTTAGTTTCTAAAGTTGAAGATGGCCTTAATCATAGGACTTTTCCTGTGTGGTATTTGAGCCTCTGTTTTCATACCCACATCCTACCATGTATTGCATTAGATCATGTGTCCATCTCTTCCAATCGATAATACATTTTTTAAGTTAAGACAACCCTTACTGCCTTGGCAGGTTTTGCTCAACAGTTGGAGCATCAGCCCATGGACCGAAGGGTTGAGGGTTTGATTCCAGCCAAGGGCATAAACCTGGGTTTGGTCCCCGGCCCTGGTTGGGGTCATGAGGGAGGCAACCAATCAATGTGTCTCTCCCACATCAATGTGTCCTCTCTCCCTCCCTCCCTTCCAGTCTCTCTAAAAATCAATGGGAAAATTTCCTCAGGTGAAGATTAATAATAACAACAACAACAACAAAAAGACAACACGTAATAGCTGCGCAATCTTGCACAAATGCCTTAATCTTCTTTAAGCCTCAGCTTCTTTACTTGTAAAGTGAGGATTGGAAGCATTACCTTCCTCAAAAGTTACTATAAAAATCAGTAAAGCACTCAGTGCTCAAGTACTTATTAGACATTATCTATTGGTATTTTTGTTACTGTTATTTTTTTCTTCATTTTTGGGTCTCTGTAGCGCTACTCATTGCTTAATTCAAAGAAGATAGCAAAGAAATCATCCTATTATGTTGAACCTTATGAAATTATTGATATTAAACCATTTTGACCCACCAAATGACAATTCCATATAGCTTAACATAGTGGAACTGCTAATTCTAAAAATTATTTAAGTGATGTAAGCCTTTCCAAACTTTGTTTCTCCTCGGGATGTATAACACTGTCCCCACAACAAAGTATATCGAATTAGGCTTCTTGTTTTTGGTATTAGGGTTTGTATGAAAGCCCAGCAGAATAATTGAAATGTCTCTTTAGAACGATGATTGCCTATTTGAATGTTTAGAATAAAAACAAGTTATATTTTCTAAAGTCTTACCAGTTCTGATTTAGCATTTCATGAAGTATGATTCTGAAGTGATTTGATTTATATCTTAAAGTAATCTCAATATTACATATTCATGTTATGTGTATTACCTATATACCTTAGAATCAGAAAATAACTCCTTTTTTTTTTTTGAGAAGAGGAAGGGAAATAAGGAATACAAGGAAATGATGAGCAATTTAGTATTTTTCTCTTGTCTGTTAAAACCTCCAAAAATATTCTAACTGCTAATTCTACTATAATAATATAATATGGATAATAAGGAGTGCATGAGTAATTTAAATTTGAAGTTGTCTTTAAAGAAACAAGAATAAAGTGAAAATGAATTTTCATATGTACAAAATTATGCAAGAAATGAATTGATAGCAGCAATCTGCTTTTTTCTAGGACTAAAAAGAGAATTTAAGTAATAATGAAGTTTTAAATTAACAACAATCAGCCCTAGCCAGATAGATCAGTTGGTCAGAGTGTCATCCTGATCCGCCAAGGCTGCTGGTTAGATCCCCAGTCAGGGCACATACTAAATGAGAACCAAACAATGAATGTGTAAATAAGTGGAACAACAAATTGATATTTCTCTAAAATCAATCAATAAAAGAAATTAAATTAGCAACAATTATTTAATTAAATACTAAGGTTGAGAAAGCATACAAATTATTGATTTTAGTTGATTTTACTGGCTAGTGAAACTTACAACATTGTTTTAGGAACCAAGACCTGAACGATCATATCAGAGTGGCCCCCTCAGCAAACAGCAGGTAAGCGTATTAAGATTATTCAAGAGAGGGAGTGGTGGGGGAGAGATAAACCACAGAACTTATATGCATGTGTGCATGAACAATGGACATGGACAACAAAGCTGGGGACAGGGCGGGGAGGGGGGAAGAGGGAGGCAGTGGGGGAAAAAGGAGAAACATCTGTAACAAAAATAAATCAATTAAAAAAAGATTATTAAAGACTCCTGAGAAAGTCTCCAATTTATGCCTAAAAATAAGATTAGTTATTTGACTAAGGAAATTTGAAAGGGGACATGATAAATAAAGAGAACAAATTGATTTGTTGATGTACAACAATGCTGTATAGATTTTTCTTTAATTATTGTTTTTATCTATTTCATTAGAATATTGTTTTAAATGATAATATTGAAGCTAATTGTGTATAATTACTACTTGAGAAATTTATTTTGACACAAAATAGCAAAATGAGTTTATTACTATAAATTTGTAGTTAATTAATATTAAGTTTATAAAACTAAATAAATTAAAAATTATTGGCTTTAGACTCCTTCACAAACCCAAGGATTAATTTTAAAATGACTCCTAAGAAAATTAGCTGCATAACATTCTTATACTTGATTAGAATATTTCTGTATTACATTGAATATGTTTCTGTCTTCCTGAGAAGTTAAGACCCATTATACAATGAAACAGAAGTTAAGCAAAGTAAGACAGAGCAACTCCAAACTACTTTTCAATCCTTCTGAAGATAATGTTGACGAAAGCACTGTGCAGATGTAAGGAGTCATTATGAAGAGAAAGAGAGGACGAGTGTTAGCAGGAAGGAGCATGGGGTTCACCCTCAGTAACGTCTTAGGTACCTGGCCCCTAGGAGTGCCTTGACTTCTCTGAAAGTCAGTTTACTTATTTATTAAGGGGGGATGGTAATATACATCTTATTAGGTTGTTTTGAGAATTTTGAAAATTCTAATTTGTAACTAATGTATACAAAGTAGAAACAATAAATTTATCACTTTCAGGATTTTATTGAATGATTCAAGCATCAAAAAAAAAAAAAAAAATACCAGTCATAAAATTTGCTGATTCCAAAATGAATTTGACCTTTTATTTTATTTTGTTTTAGCAGTGAACAAGGTCTTAATAAACTTATTCATCTAAGTCCCAAGGCTGTCAAAAACATGGCTGGGTAAGAGAAGGATTATTTTTCCTCTTTTTGTTTTGCTTTGTTTCTCCTTAACTAAGCACAATATGAATATAAATGACTTAAAATCATTCCATTTACAAATTAAATATAATTCTCTTAAAAACGTCACAATTTTATATGTCCCTGGAAATTTAGATTATCTATTGGTTAATAGCAAGAAAGAAAGGCAGCTGAAAAAAAAAATGTGGTGGTGGCTTTACTTTTTTCAGCCTTCAGTAAAGCAATTGAAGAGTGACTGTGGTAGGAACATAACTACTCTATGTGCTGTTTGTTTTGGAGAACTGATATCAATACCTTTGTCTCTCAAAGTGATTAAAAGTTATTAATAACAATTTTTTAAAATACCTAGGTTCTTCATTAGACTCATTACCAACAAATATCATTCACCTTTGTTTTTGAGGAGTATTTTCTGGTAGTTAGTGGAAATGTTATGAGGTTTACTGTTTCTTTGATGGTTTGTGCTACCAGAAAAGTTATAGACCTACCTTTTGATAATTCGTTGAGTAGTATCTGTAACATGATGAAATTCACTTTTTGTCTCTGGTTATATGAAAATTTTTATATAATTATACACTAGTATTATATATATATGTATATATATATATCTTAATGTTTTTATAATTTTTCTTCTTAACTTTAATTGGTACATATGAAAATTACAAACTTTTAGAGGTGAAATGAAGGAACCTCAGGGAACTCATGGCCCAGTTAGTCTGAACAATTTTGAAAACCTCTGTTAGAGTTGAACCTAATCAATTTACAGAAGAGGAATTTGAGATTCAGAAAGGCTACACGATTTGACCAGGGTCGCAGAGAAAACCAGTGGAAGAAGGATAGTTCTGTGGTCTGGTAGGCAGTGAGTAATTACTGAGCACCTACTGGGCTTGAAGCTTACAAGTAGGTACCATGAGTTGCACACTAGAAATAATTATAGGCCATGGAAGCCAAAAAGAGAATTCAGTAGACATACTGAATCCTATTAACAACAGGCAATTATCATAGATTAAAGCTAATTATGTACCAGGGGCACAGAGATGTCATTCCAAGACAATAATAGATTGTCAATTTAATATATTACATTTTGAAATACTCATGTACTGCTTGCTGGATATAGAATGCATTGTTAGTGCGTTGCATATCAAAAGAAAAAGAAGCATTGAATAGCTAAGTTAATAAACATGACAAGCAGTACATTTCAGATTCATAGATTCCTGGGAACAGAAGATGTTAGAGATGGGTAGAGCCTTAGTGACGATACAATCCAATACCCTCATTTTACAGATGAGAATACTAAGGCCAGGGGCAAAAATCTGTCTTCCGTGCGTTCTTCTAATTTCTTGCCTAACTCCCAGCCCAACTCCCATTCTTTAAACCATAGCACACAGACTTTGATCTTAAAATAAATGAAAGTTAGTTGAGAACGTCAGGGACCTACAGGAGTTTCCTATAGGATTGATTGTTGCTCTTACCATGGGACAGCCAGGATGTGTCTTTTCCTGCTTTATAGGGTCACTTGAATGATGACCTCATAGAGGACAATGGCACACATGTGTGAATCACTTCACAGCTTTTAAACTACATGGAAGTAATGATAGGTATTAATATTTTAATGTATCTCTTTACTACATCCTTAAAGTCAAATAAATGAAAGCAGTAACTTGAGTAGAAAAAAAAGTTAGACTTTTCCTGAATAACATTTAGATATAAGATTCCTGTGTTTGCAGGAACCCAGGACCTGAAAATAAGGTCTATAAATTTCTTGATTTCAACTCACTGAGATAAATTGCACAACGCTCTCGATCAAGGAAATTCAGAACTGTTGCTGAGATCCTTGTTTTATTACTGTGCATGTTTTAAGACTACGGGTAGAACATAATGTACGTTTATGGTTTTTAAGTTAGTGTTTCTCAAACTGTGGGTTACAACCCATTAAAGTGTTTTGTAATTATTTAATAAGTGCCAATCAACATTTCCCCCCAATTACATAAAATGGATTGAATTGAGTAGAAAATGAGAGTTCTTCTTATGTAGTGGGGGTATTATTTCATGAATTTTATATTTGTGTGTGTGTGTGTGTGTGTGTGTGTGTATGTCTGTATGTCTGTCTGTCTGAAAAAAGAGAGTATTGGGCTGTGATGTAAAATATATTTCTTAGTGGGCTTTATAAAATAGTTTAAATATCACTGTTCTAGGTAATTGAATCAAACTTTCTATGTTCAGTAGAACAGTTAAAATGGAAGTTCTCATGTTTGCGGTTAATTTCATATAATGAAAGGTTGTGGCTTTTCAACATAGTATCTCCTCTACAAAGTGTTATTCTTTGTATTTTCTCTTCTAACACATGACATTAACTTAATTTTAAAGATGTTGTCTTTCAGGCATAGTTTAGCTCTAAGACAGATTTTGCAATCATAAGATTTTTCTGCAATGGATAGTTTTCACATGTTAATCATGCTTTTAATAGTATTTGTAGATACCAATTGATTATCTTTGAGAATATTATTATTGAGGGTCATTCAAAACAGTGAAATTCAGTGAGGCGCTTTCTGTCTACCACAGAGATCTGAGAAAGATATGCAGAGATCAAACTGAGTGAATCTGTGAGCTGGGTGGGAAGCACACCCTATGGAAAGGGTGAGGGCTGGGACAGGCGAATGCAGGCCCCTCTCAGACCTTTTTGATGATTAGCCTCTAAGTGGCTCCCCTTCTCTTGCATCAGTGTTTTTTTTTAATCCTCACCCGAGGATATTTTTCCATTTTTTTGTACAGATAGAGTGGGAGGGAGAGAGAGGAAGGGAGAGAGAGAGAAACATCGATGTGAAGGGACACATCGAGTGGCTGCCACCCACACGACCAACCAGGGCCGGGGACAAACTGCAACCGAAGTACGTGCCCTTAGCGGGAACCGAACCGGGGTCTCTCCCGACCGCAGGCCGACGCTCTAACCGCTGAGCCAAACTGGCCAGGGCGCATCAGTGTTTTTAATGAGTAAAATCTATTTTATTTTTATATGATTATAAAGGGTTGTTGGAGAGAAGACGGTACAGGCAGGTTACTGTCCAAGATGATACTGGAAGCAAATGTTATCTGTCCTGTGACTTCTTGACATGCAGGCTGCTATATTTCTTTGAATACAAAAAAAAAAAAAAAAAGGGTTAGAAGAACAATTTGAAAAATCACAACTTTCTGGTCCTTAAAACAAGGCGTTATACCAAGGCAGTGAACGATAGCAAACCACATAGAAGCAAATGCTGTTCTGTGACAGGGAAAAGGAACTGGTAAGACTTCAAACAGGAATCAGACATTTTCAGAGGATGTCACTAATTTGGCCATGAGCAACTGAGTTTAATTTGGCTTTTCAGTCATCAGAGAGGGAAGAAAATTCAATTTTGATGGATTACTGGAACTCTTTTTGCCAAATCTTAAGTATAATCCCAGTTTTAGAGCTTACTATTTTTAAGATATATTTAGTTAATGAATAGGATTTTAAAAATAACAAGGACATTAGCATCAGCGTATATCTCATAAAGTTAAAGCATTTCAGAGTGAAAATTTTTGAATCACCGGATGTTTGCTGTGAATACCGTCAGTGTGCCCTGGAAGACACGCTCTGGCAATCGAGGGTGCGGAATCAGAGTGATTTTTTTTTTCTGATGCATCGTCCTTCATCCTCCCCTGGATTGATTAAAAAACTTATTTCAAGGCTGTTCTATGCCAAAACAATATGTCTCAAACTACACATAAGATAACAAATCCCTTCTTCCTATTTCCAACCAACTTAAACTCTGATCTCTAACCTAGCTGCTTTAATTTTTTTTTTCCACTAAAAGAAATCAAGATCTTGACAAGCTCATCAAAGTGAATCCTGAAACTGTCACCAACAACCGCAAGTAATAGAACTATATTATTTTTTGTGCTTCAGTCAAGAAGACTATTTTGTATTTTTAGTACTCTAAGCAGATTTATAACCTTAATTTCTTATCAAAAGAAACTTATCATTAATCGGCAATCTTTTTATTTTTCTATTTAAAGAAACCAGGATCTTGATAACCTCATCAGAGTGAATCCCTCCGCAATCAGAAGCAATCAGAGGTAATCACATAAAAGCAGTCATTTCATGTTTTCATGGGTCTGTTGCCACTGCGTGCAGTTGGTTTATAAAGTTGGTGTATTGAACTAGCACCACCAAAAAACCTATCACTAATCCGAACTTACTGTCTTCTCTTTTGAATAGCCAAGACTTGGGCGATCTTATTCAAGTGAAACCTTCAGCTCTCAGGAACACGGAGCGGTTAAGTGACTTTTCCTAACTATCTTGACATATTCTCAAGGTTCTGGGTTAGGTATTTTCTTTTCTTTTTTCTCTTCTCTTCTCTTCCCTTTTTTTTTTTTTTTTCCCTTCCTGAAGCCTGCGTTTTTCTTTAGTGTCAAATGGGGACCCACTTATAACACACGTGTCTCTTGTTCAGCAAGGAAACATATTGCATTCTCTGGAATCAACTGCTTGATTTTAGACTCAGTTCTGTACTTTGTATTTGCACTCAGATAACTTTGTGTTCCATGTCTTTGGGTAATAAGACAATATCAGAACTGAAATGAAAAATGAGTGAAATTAAATAAGGAGAAGTATTTTGGAGAAGCTTAACCAAACTATGGTTTACGTAGCTACCTACTGAGATAAGAAAGGATATTCAGGGTCTTCAAGGGTTCACAGAAAACTTCAGCCTTGGATTTCCATTTGAGTTCTGCAAATATCTTGTAATTCACCATCTGTATGTCGTATCATTCACCCAAAGGGCTTTGTTCATAGTTAATAGACATCCAAATCATTCTACTGACTTGAAATTTTATCATACAAAATATATAGATGAGACTCATAGTCTCAATATTCTAAGAAAGCAGATTAGCACAGAGAGAAGTGCTTAGAATCCACCAGGAGAAAGAGGACAGGGTCAAATCCTCATTGATCTAGATCTTACTAGTCTGTTTTCTCCATGAATGCTTTATTTCACATTTTCTGTCTGCATGTGTTTATCTGTTGTTGGGGCTTTTGAAGCAGGAAGGTACAAAAGCAGTTGCTACTTAGACAGTAGCATTTATTGAGCACCTGTGGTGTGATGGGCAATTTATATACATTTTATCCTCACAACAACCCCATGAGAAATATATTCATACACCTTATGTTATGAAAGAGGAAGTGATAGCTCACAGATATGAAATAACCTTCTCAAGAAAGAAAACACATCCCAGATCTAAACGCAGGTCCTTCTGACGTCACTACCTACAAGAAAAACAAAAGTTCTGTGGCTGAAACAGCTCATACTCTCCTTTTCTTTTAATTCTTCAGACTCCATATAGTCCCTTCCCTGCTAATTCCCCTCCTACCTCTGCAGCTAAAGGACTACAAACATTGATTCTAGAAAAGTATTGTTAAAATGAGAGGGAGGAGAGGAAGTATTTGTTTCAGAGTTTTCCCAACAGCTGAAATACCAGCAGACTTTTGCTGTTGCCCCTGCCACTGAGAACTGTATGGAAATATCTTTGTTAAGTAGAACCATGTCTTCACAGTGTACTGTGCTGCGGATTTTCTTTTCATTAGCAACAGTCTTAGGAGTGATTAGGTTTAATAACCACATGTGATTACTCTAGCAAACCGTTTCCTCGGGGGACCATTCCATAAAATGTTCTCTCTCCCTCCTTTCTCGCTCCCTCTCCCTCCTCGCGCACCTCCTTCTAACTTTGTTCTCCTTCCTTCTCTTCCGCTAGCAAATGTGCTGTGTCGATAGACAATGGTAACTTTCTCATAAGAGTTTTGCCTTTTATTAGAATAGGCTAATTTTATAAAAATCTTGTTTGCATCAGCAACTTCTAATAACATATCTATGAGCATAAGACATTCTCCTTACCCAGATAGAATTTCTATTCAACAAATTTAAAAACATTGGCCATCATGTTGTTTTCAGATGGAAGCTTGATCCACAAATGTAACCTAAGTGATATCTGATGGTTCTTTAGTATTTACACCTAATTTCATGATAATCATTTGGGATGTTCAAGAATTATCCCAGAACTGACAAGCAAGAAAGATTGAGCTGCCTATTTGAAAAAAAATGACTTCATTGGGTTGGTTCAACCACCTGTGTCTGTAATGTATCTATTCTGCCTGCTTGCCTTTAGTGGGTAAAGAGAGGGGCATTTTAAAATGCCTCCCAGTGGAAATAATAACCACAAGGCACCTTTACATCCAATTCACTGGGATGTGAACACTGATTATTTAATAATGTAACAGCAGTGCATCAGAGTTCTTTTTGTGTGACTTTGCTGACGTTTCCAACAGCTGTATATTTAACTCACAGTTGGGGGCGGAATACACTTCAGTCATCGATCAGAACATAAGCAGGTGTCTCTGAGCTCTTTCTAAGAACACAACAGCCTGAACAAATGCAGATGTGCACAGAATTTTCATCTATTCAGGCAGAAACTGTGTGGCTAAGAGATATTATGAACTAAGAGGCATTAAAGGGAGATATTGAATTATGTGTAGCCTATAAACTGTTTCCCCCAAATGAAGGTTGAAAAGCATCTAGTGACACTTAGGTCTTTACAGTTAGAAAAAGCATCCTTCAGCCCAGCAGGTGTGGCTCAGTGGTTGAGCATTGACCCATGCACCAAGAGGTCACCGGTTCATTTCCCGGTCAGGGCACATGCCCAGGTTATGGGCCAGATCCCCAGTGGGGGGCATGCAGGAGGTGGCCAATCGATGTTCTCTCTCATTGATGTTTCTATCTCTCTCTCTCCCTCTCCCTTCCTCTCTCTCTAAAATAATGAAGAAAAAAAGAAAAAGCATCCTTTCTCTGAGGTAGAAAAAAAAATACTCTGAACTGTGGGAAGTATTATATTCCCATCTTTTTAAGGGCATCCTATTTGCTGAGACATACCTCCAAGTTTTTCGTATTCCAACAAGATCCCCTTCCTATTGCATATGGCTCATATTTCTCCTCCAGACAAAAAGGTGGAGGGTCGGGGCAGAGGGTGACACTGACTCCATTGCTTCATTCCCCATAATCAATAGGTCCTTTGGATGCTTCTAATTATCTCAGGAACTGAGACACTTCATCATCCCCACGGCTTCTGCAGTCTAGATCACCGGCCAGTCTCCTAACTAGTTCCCCTGCTGCCCATCATACTTACTCCCTTTAGTCCATTTGCCACATAGTAGAGGGATCTTTCTAAAACACGAATCTGATCACATCATTCTTCTAATTAAATTCTTCTGTGGCTTCCCATTGCCATTGTCATTGGATAATGGCCGTACTCCTTAACCCGGTTTCCACAGCTCACCCATCCTGCCTCCACAGGCCTTTCACCACATCCCCTATAGTTCCATTCACACACCCTAACTTAGCTCACTCCTTACTGCTCTTTCATTTCTACTGTGTGGGTCGTTTCTCCCTACCCTTTAGGTCTCAGCTGAGGCATCTCTCTCTCTCTGGAAAGCACCCCCAATCCCCACCACCACATCTGCATTGGGTCCTTTGTTCTCAAGCTCTTGATCCTTTCTGTCCCATAGCATTTGTCTCTTAGAAGAAATGACTCTTTAATCATCTCTCTGCAACGAGAGGATTTTAAATGGTAAGACTGGGTCTGCCTTGTTCACTTCTTTATCTACAGTGCATCGTTCAATGCATGGCTTCTATTAGGTGCTTAGTACACATTCTGTGAATTCACAACTAAATCTCAAACTAATCAAGACCCTAGAATCACCCACCTAGATGAAGCCTATTGCTTTCCAGCTCTAACATTCTGAGCTCCATAATGAAGAAATCTGGTATCTTCTAAATGGTCTCCTTTAGCCAATGACTGTCTCCTGCTCATGGCATAATTCCAGTGAACTGTGGTGAACTAGAACCATTAACATTCTTGGTCACATCTTATATTTAAAATACCAAAATTTTCCAATTTCTTTGTGGAACTGTTAATTTCTCTAATATATAATCTTTAAAACTCCCTCATTGAAGATAATTATAAAAATATATAAAGCTGGGCCCATTTGGTGAGGTCATTTCAGTTGAAGAACTATACAGTTATCTCACTATATTCAATACTCTTTTCAGAGAGACAAATATTCCTTTGAACTAAAGTTAAAGCCTAAGATTTAGTGCTTGGCATAAAAGAAGCACCATGGTAAAATTTTTACATGAAGACTCTTAATTTTGCAAATGTGTTTGATACTCCACAAAAGCAATTTAAGTAAGCTGCAGAGAGAGAAACATATTGAGGCTTTTAATAAATACCTCCCACGTCATATGAGAGAGGAAGAGTAGTTGGGAGTGAGCGAATAGCTTTCTCTCACACAGTCTTGTCCTAGGAAAAGTTGTATAATAAGAGACGATAATTAAAGGGGGTCAAATGTACGGTGATGGATGGAGACTAGACTTTAGGTCGTGAGTACACAATGCAATATACAGGTGATGAATTATAGAATTTATACTTGAAACTTATATTATTGGTTACTAACCAATATCACCCCCAATAAATTTAATTTTAAAAAAAGAGACAATAAGCCTAGCAGGTGTAGCTTAGTGGATTGAGCATTGTCCCATGGACTGAGAGATCCTGGTTCGATTCCTGGCCAGGTCACATGCCAGGGTTTTGGGCTCCATCTCCAGTAGGGGGCATGCAGGAGGCAGCCAGTTGATGTTTATCTCTCACGTCCATGTTTCTATCTCCCTCTCCCTTCTTCTCTCTCTCTAAAAAAAAAAAAAAAAAAACAGTAAAAACATATTTTTAAAAAGAGAGAAACAATAATACCTAAGTCCCCCAAATCTCTACTTTTCCCCTTAGTCTGTTCTGTAAAGGAGTGTTATATTCTTTAACGGGACAGTGGAAAATAAAATTAACATAATGACAACATAGATAAAACTTATATACGAAATCTGTGCTATGACTCTACATAACAGACAACTCATATTTTCTCCCAAACATTTTGAAATTTACAGGAAGAGAAGCATTTTTAGTTGCTCTGGTTAACAAAATTTCCTTTTTGCATGTTTCACTGTATCCACACAGGAGTGATGATTTTTCTTTGAGTTAATTCCAGCTGCTCATAAACTATACAATTATAAGGTGCAACTGACACAAACAGCGTTTGGAATCATGCCTTTGCTAGACCCCGAAGCATTTGGCTGGGCTTCTATAAAAATCTTTTTTTCACACTTTGATTCACAGCTCCTCATTTTCTGCCACAGTGTAAAAGACATGATGCAATAGATGTGGTCTTAATTAAAGAATAAAATTTATTTTTATAGCCTTCAGCTTGGGAAATTTATGGGCTATCTGAACTTTTAAAAAAATGTTTTATTGATTTTTTTTTTTTTTAGAAAAAGGAAGGGAGAGAGAGAGAGAAAGATAGGAAGATCCATGAGAGAAGCATCAACATCGATTGGCCGCCTCCTGCAGCCTCCCCCCCACCCCCCCCCCCCCACCCCGGGGATCAAGCCCACAACCCAGGCATGTGCCCTGACTGGGAATTGAACCAGTGACCTCTTGGTGCGTGGGTCAATGCTCAATCACTGAGCCAAACCAGCTGGGCATGAACTTTTATTGGCTCTTCAATTCTAGCTGGTGATATCAATCAGGTTGAAAAATCAAAGCAAATATACATTTTGTACTTTACACATTCTAGAACTTTTTATTTTGCTTTAAATTTTAGAATAGACTGTTCAGGATTAAATCTTGTAATTTACCCTACCAAATTGACATGTGGCACTCTTTAATGAAAACACCACTAATACTGTGGTTTATTTGATGATTCACTCTTAGACACTTTGGGAGTGTGCTTCTTTGAAGACATGCATAGGTTCCAATTTTGAATGATATACCTATAGTTATTGCATTTGTAAGATTCTAGTTTCTTCTCTTTCCTCAGGTTCAAATCTCATGTGCTGTCACAATAGCTAATGTCAATAAGACTTGGGAGGTGGGGTGGGGGTGTTGGTAAAGGTGTAGGAAGGGGTAGGGAAGTGGCGCTGCAGGGTGGGAGTTGGAGGACAAGGTATAGACAGGCCAAAGATGCAGTGTCTGCTGCAGCCAGGAGTGAAAAATGCCAGAGAAAGTGAGGATGTCCACCACCAGGCTGAGAAACCAAACCTAATCGTGTTGTGAGGACAGCAGCAGACCTGTCTTAGTTTGCTAAGGCTGCTGTAACCAGAGCCACAGACTAGCTTAAAACAGAATTTTATTTTCTCACAGTTCTGGAGGCTGGAAGTCCAAGATCAAGATGTCGGTAGGGCTGGTTCTTTCTGAAGGCCACGAGGGAAGGGTTGACTCTAGGCCTCTCTCCCTGGCTTGTAGAGGGCTGTCTTCACCCTGTGCCTTCACGTTGTCTTCCACCTGTGTGTGTCTGAGTCTAAATGTCCTTCCTCTACTTACAGGAATACAAGTCACATTGGATTAGGGCCCATCCTAATACCTCATTTGAACTTGATTATCTCCTTAAAGACCTTTTCTCCAAATAAAGTTACATTCTGACATAATGTCATTAGGACTTAAGCGTATGAATATGATGATGGTGGTGGAAGGGCACAGTTCAACTTAGGACAACATCCCCAAATAAGGGAGCTGTGTGAAAAAGGAAAGGAGGTGAAATGTCCATCACCGGCTCTACTGATCTTTTCTATATGGCTGTGGTACACGCTATGTACCTAGATGTGGGCACAGCTGACTGCTTAAAGGTTCAGGGTCTAATGTCTGCCCTTTAGGGTTTCTTTAATCTCTTTTCCAGAGCTAGGTAAGGTAATAGTAAATTTCCCCTAGAGAAGGAGAAAAAGAGAATTTAAATTAATTTAGTTTAATTTCCACCACTATTTTTTGATCGGCTATTATGTGCAAGGTGATGTAAGGTCATGGTCATGTGTCTCTACTCTCTACTCTCTACTCTCAAACTGTAAAGAAAAAAATCATACTCACTTCATCCAAAGTTAGCAGAGAATTGCTTCCTGGGACGAAATTATAATTTCTGAAGATTCACTTTTCCTGATGATCTCTCACTACTTACCATGACCTGCTATCCCTTTGGCGTTCCAAGGAACCTGGATTATGGAAAACCATGACACTCCACTTTTTATTCCATTATCCCCAAGTATTTAGTTAAGTGTTATTTTTAGATGTTAAGGGAGGAATCGCTTAACGCCTAGGCTATTAAGATAGTACAGTGGCCCTGGAGGCCAATAAGGTGGCTTTAATTGGTTGTGAGGGACCATCAGGTGTTAGGCAAATAAATGCAAAGCCTTCTGTCTCCATTTCTGAATTTGGAGGATGTGATCTAGGAGGTTTCCTTACATGGTTCTAGCAGTTAGGTTGAGGAAGTCATTTTTGAATTTTATATATTCAGGTTACAAAATCAAATGATATTGATACTTCTGAGAGATTTCTGTTGAAATCCTGTACATTTTACATATATTAATAGGCATATTTCCCACTAAAAATGTGAGCTAGTATATGAAATATGAGGTGTAAGAGTAGCTAAGAAATGCTGATTAACTTGCAGATTTATCAGATGTTGATGGCTTGGATGTTATAAAAAAGAACATTAAATTTTATTCCACATATAAGATAACTTTTAAAATATATTTCATCCTTATCAATATTAATTTTGTGAATGAGAGTACTTATACTGATCCAATATAAAATAACCTTATTTAAATCTACTATTCAGGATCAGAAGGGAGATTTACAAAAACTGAAATTAATTCTAAAGATGGGAAAAGTTGGGGTAGAAAGAAAAATGAAACAGTGCTCCCTTGAAATTTTGGAAATCAATAGCACCTATTGCTGGGTCACTACACTTCTATTACCTATCATTTATTTATACTTATTCAGTTCACGTGCAATTGTAGTCATTGTGCCCACAAATTGTATTTACACTAATTCATTTATTCTTGCTGCAACCTAGTAAAAGTAGGTATTATCCTAGTTTACAAACAGAAGCTTAGAACGGTTGTCAGACTTGCCCGAGGAAAGTAGAGGAATTGTTGGCCTTACTCTGATGCTTAAGCCCTGCTATTAACCAACAAGGGCTGTGACAAAGGCTTTCCAAATTCATTAAAAAAAAAAAAAATCAAGAACTACCAGTGTTATAGCAAAGATATACTGTAAATAGCTAATATATAAGTAACATACCAAAGGATGTTTATTGTAGCTTATGAAAGTATGCCATATCATAATTGTAACCCAAGATTTAAGAGTCTAATTGTCCCATTTATTTTGCACATTATGAATTCTTGATTCAAATTATGGGTTGATTTTTCATATTTCTGTAATCCAAAAAGCTGGAATGAAGTCTCTAATTAAATATCCAAGAATTGATTTCAGATGGACAGATGCCTCACCCCAAATCTTGACTCTTTTTCAAATTAGCTAATTGACCTTGGAAAATTCACTTAGCCTTCCTGAGCCCCAGATGCTGTCCTGCAGGATTTTGTGCGTTCTAAGTGACTTAATCCATGTGGAAATACACAATTAGTGCTTCGTGACACAAAGTAGTGCTCATTGCATGTTAGCTGAATGTGAACATCAATCAGTCGTTTCTTTTCAGGCCAGACTCCTCAAACCTTCCAAAAATTAGTTCTTTGTGTCTCAATATCACACTCTCGTGTTTGAGTTGTAGAGATCACCAGCTCAATGTTAGATTTTCAATGTCCCATATCTTTTTACCACGACTATGTCTAAAATTATGTACTGATTTTTAAAGTTTTTATTCTGTTTTTTTATTCCCTAAAATTATATTGTAACTAAAAATACATATGTAAATTTTTTTTTTCTATAGAGATCGGGACCTGGACAATTTTATTGAAGTAAATTCTACTGTGTCAAAAAATAAGAATGGAAGGTAAGGCTTATTATAATTTACTTTTCTTTCATGATTCTATATAAACCTGCACAAATTATGTAAACTTGGAATGTTTTCCAAAGAACTGAACGATAGTATGGTATTTAAATAAAAAACCACCTGAACACTAAAGAATAATGTACAGGGTGATTAATAAACTGATATAGAAAAAAATGGTCAAAATTCAAATTCTGTTAAAATTTCTGATTAAAGGCCTGTTGTTTTATTGCTTAGTTAAAAGGCATCATGAAAATTCAAATTTCTGCACTTGGTCTGTGAAGACTTATTTTTACTTACTGTTGCTTGGTAGGTTTTCAGTGGTGCAGAAAGCGCCCTGAGAATATCTTCCTTGGATACCTAGTGCCAAAAGAATATACAAATTCATCACAGCCACAAAACAGGACCTAATTTTGAATTTTCTTTACGCCACACAGTATAATGGCTTTAAAACTATTGTACCTCGGTTGCTTTTACAGGAAGGTTTGGGTAGAAACTGTACTTCGTGGTTGTTACAGACTGTTGAAATTAAATTAGGAAAGAATAAAGAAACGATTGTATGTTTAGCAATTCTTTCTCCCACATATCTAGGTGGGGGGGGTACCCTAAAAACAATAGAGTCTTATTTTGTATCTTCCTAAGGTTCAGTTGGTTTTTTTTGTTTAAAAATTTTTTTTTTCTTTTAATCCTCACCCAAGGACATTTACTTTTTGTTCAGATAGAGTGGGAAGGAGACAGAGGAAGAGAGAGAGAGAGAGAGAAACATCAACTTGAAAGGGACACATCCAGTGGCTGCCACCCGCACGACCAACCAGGGCCGGGGACAAACTGCAACCCAGGTACGTGCCCGTAGCGGGAACCAAACCTGGGTCTCTCTGGACCGCAGGCCGACGCTCCAACCGCTGAACCAAACCGGCCAGGGCTAAAAAAAATTTTTTTAATATGAAGAAATGATATTGTTGATATTTTGGCAGAGAATAGGAACCCAGGAAAAGAGCTGGGTTACTACACCCCCTCCCCAATGTGTATAAAAGTTTCTTGAATCTAATAGATAGTTTCTTTCTGTTCCCTTAATTCTCCAAATCATCTGCCTTCCTTTATTTGTGGTACTAAGCAAGCCTCTGATGAAATGAGAGCATCAATTTTCAATAGGATCTGTTTATCTTGGAGAAACATTCACTATTTTGGAAACAGGGTAGGGCTTACAATGAACCAATCTCATTAAAATATTATTTGGAAATGACTATGGTAAAAAAACAAACAAGTATATGATTAAGTAAAATTTAGGAACTTCCCTCCCATTTACTAATATTTGAGAGGTGGGTTTGCTCATGGATCAGGGTTTTATTGGAAGGACTAATTCCTTCAAAATTCAAGAGCAGCCATGGTAGCATGGCTAGGCTGCACAGAGGCCTGAGCTGGGAAGGGAGGACATTCCATTAGGAAACCCTGGACATTCACCCTAGTTTTTGTCATTAATATAGCTTAGCTACTTCCTGAATGCTGGCTTCTGCTTATTTTTCTCCTGCTCTTTTCTCTACTTATTGGCTTCCTTATGCTTTACTATTTTTTTTTTTTTATCCTCACCCGAGGACATTTTTCCATTTTTTATTCAGATAGAGTGGGAGGGAGAGAGAGGAAGAGAGAGAGAGAGAGAAACATCTACGTGAAAGGGACACATCGAGTGGCTGCCACCTGCACGATGAACCAGGGCCGGGGACAAACTGCAACCGAGGTACATGCCCTTAGCGGGAACCGAACCTGGGTCTTTCTGGACCACAGGTGGATGCTCTAACTGCTGAGCCAAACTGGCCAGGGCCTTATGCTTTACTCTTGATCTGTTTGATAACCATGAGCTCTTGCTGCCTCCCAGTTCCTGCTTCCTCACATCTCCAGATTACTCTAGCTTTCCATGGTGCGTCTGGTGCCCTTTAGCAATGCAGTGTGGGTTTGGCCATCTGCAGAGGAGACATGGAAATGGAAAACACCAGGGTGGACTCAAAGGTGCGCATCCTCTCCTTTCCCTGTCTGCGTTTTCGTCTGCGCCTCCTGCTGGACATAATCCAACAATCACATCCACATTCACAAACGCACCCACTCGCTCCCCAGTGGGAGGGTGATCATCACATTCAGTTACCATGTCCAGAGGTTTTAACTACCACTACTGCAATGGATCCTGAGTTCTGCTTGCAGGTGGTATTCATTTCCTTTAGTTCTGTCACGATCATGTACAGGTATGATTTCTTGTGGTTCTGCTATTTACAAATTAAATGGTAAATGCAACCACTGTCCAAGCACTGACAGAACAACTATAATAAAATCTTTCATTTGAAAGAGTGAGAAAAGAAGAAATCTTTGGCCTCAATTTTTATACCTGTGTATTCTAGCTATAGCAAGTTTGATTGACTCTCAAAATGAATAAATAGCAGAAAAACATTGAGGATCAGAGAGTAAGAGAAACAATCAGGTTAGTAAATTAGAGCAGCAGAATGGACCCAAATGTTCTGGCCTTAAATCTTCCTCTTCTTTTCCACAATAGTTCTTTTTATATATTAAACATATTTAAGTTTTATAAGAGTTCAAGACCTTGACAGTTTTATAGAAGTAAGCCCTAACACATATGATACAAATGGTAAACTTTTAATAAGCTTTATTCTTCATGCAAATGAGACTTATAAAGTTTGCAGTGATATGGATGTTTATTAGTTGAAATTGATCTTGCTGTTTAATCTCAGGCTGTTAAGGTTAAAGTAATAAAACAATGGAAATCTAAATAAGAGTCCTGGGCCCATCCACTACTACAATCAGTTTCAGAACATTTTCATAGCCTTGAAAAGAAATCCCATACTCATTAACAGTCACACATCATTTTCCTCCAACCCCTCAGCCCTGGCAGCTGCTGACCTACTTTCTGTCTTCATGAATTGCCCTATTCTGCATTTTTCATATGTATGGGATCATACAATAAGTGCTCCTTTGTGACTGGCTTCTTTTACTTAACATAATGTTTTTAAGATTCACCCATATTGTAGCATGTATCAGCATTTTATTTCTTTTTATTGTCAAATAATATTCCACTGTATGGATATACAGCATTTTGTTCATGTATTCATAAGTTTATGGGCATTTGGGTAATTTCCAATATTGGATTATAATTCACTATTGTGAACAATACTGCTATAAACATTTGTATGGGGTATACTTCCATTTCTTTTGTGTATATACTACCTAGGAGGGGAATTGCTGTATATAGTAACTCTTTATCTAACAACTCCAGAAACTGACAGACTAGCAAATCAGCTGTATCATCTGATGTTCTCATTAGAAGGGGGTGAGAGCCACAGACAGGTACATTTTCAAGCTGAGTTTCCACTGTGGGAAACATTTTCTCAAGTGAAATCCATTTGGATTCTGTAATATCTAACCTAATGTTAGGGTTTATATTTTATAGCGTTGTTATTTAATTAAGAAACAACACTATGACCATTAATTAGAACTTACAATTCTGCAATTGGTTTCATTGAAGGATAACTTAACAATAAAGCTACCAAGGGACAAACATTGTGATTCATGAATTCTCTTTTATGAATATTATTCAAGGCATTTGAGAGGAATGCTTTTTTTTTTTTGATCCTCAGCTGAAGATATTTTTCTATTTAACTTCAGATGGGGGGGGGCATCAATGTGAGAGAGACACATTGACTTGTTGCCTCCTACATGACCCCAACTAGGGGCTGGGTCGAACCACAACCGAAGTACATGCCCTTGACTGGAATTGAACCCGTGACTCATTGGTCTGCAGTCCAACACTCCAACCACTGAGCTAAACCAGCCAGGGCAGAAGAATACTTTTGTAGCGAGTCCTCTGTTAACACTGGTTCCCAGACTTTAGTGTACATCGCCATCTCTGCTGGTCTGGGGACCACACCTTAAGAGCCTGTGCTCATTTGAGTAAGGTGTTGGACTGCCCAACCTCTAAGGCAGTGATTCTCAACTTTGGCTTGCATGTCAGACTCCCTGGAGAGATGATAAGAATCCCAATGCCCAAGCTGCACCTAAAATTAATTAAATCAGAATATCTGGATGTGGGACCCAGTAGCATTTTAAAAAGCACTACAGGTTATTTCATTGGTTGTCAAAGTATTATCTAACTATTATTATGGCTCTGAATAATAAAAATATTAGTGTCATCACTGATTGCATCAAGATAGAATTGCCTTTGGAAAATCTTTCACCATTCCATAAGAAAAAGACTTGGAAACTATCACAGACCTTGGGGGACCAAGGACACCTGATGATTATGTGGAAGCGGTTTCTTGATTTTGCATTCTGGAAGTGAGAAAGCACATCGATGGGAAACTGGATGAAATACAAATAATCTCTGTTGTTAATTAAGTGCATTGCAGCAATGTTAACTGCTCCGTTTTGGCAAATGTGCCATGGCTGTGTAAGATAGCACTAGGAGAAGCAGGGCGAAGGGTATACGAGGATTCTTTGTACTATCAGTGCAGTTTTTCTATGCACTTAAAATTATTCCAAAACAAGAGATCCATTTTTTAAAATCTATCATCCTCCAAATCTGCTTTAGGAGCAAAATCTATCAGAGTTTATTGTTCTGCATTCCAAATTTATGAGTTGACAATTGGTTTTTACTCACAATTAGAAAAATTATATCTTCCATGAAGGCATTGTCATTAATCTTTTTATAAACCCAACTAGGAAATGCTACCTTTATTAGTCTGTTTAGGCTGCCATACAAAAGACTGCAGGCTGAGTGGCTTAAACAACAGAAGTTTATTTTCTCCCGGTTCTGGAAACTGAAGTCCAAGATCAAGGTCCTTCCAGGCTTGGGTTCTGGTGAAGCCTCACTTCTTGGCATGTAGATGACCACCTTCTCATTGTGTCCTGAGATAGCCTTTCCTCTGTATATGCACAACACAGAGAGATCTCTGAGGTCTCTTCCTCTTCTCATAAGGACACCAGTCCTATGGGTTTAAGGCTCCATCCACCCTTATGACCTCACTTTTAACCTTTATTCTCTCCTTTTAGGCCCTGTCTCCCAATCACAATGGGATCAGGGCTTCCACATATGAATTTTGGGGAACACATTTTAGTCCATAACATTATTTGCAAATTATTTCCCTCTTCTATTTTCAGTTTTTACAAACTGATGATATTTGATTTTACATTGCTAAGGACCATGCAAACACATTTCGAATTCACTGACAACCTTTGTCATTTGAAGCTATTTGTTAAAATTGGGTTTTGTATTATATAAACAATTCCTAGCGAGGTTTATTATTCCTGGAATGACATTTTAATAATCACATTAGAAAACCTTCTAATAATATTAAGTCTACTTTCTCATTACTTAATATCATCTTAACTCAGCTATATGCTTTGTGAAGCATCTATCTTAAAACCAGATGATTTTCCATAAGCCAGAGATGATAATATGTGAACAAATGTTTTCCTCTCCTTTAAGAGCTTTTTGAAAATGGAAGGAATGGCATGTTTGCAAATAATAAGGCATGATTAAAAGAGAAACTTTTCTTTTGGTTTTCATGTCTCTTCGATATTAGAGTTTAAGAACTTGGAGGAGGAAGAGGAGCTAAACCTTTTGCTATTCCTGCATTAGAGCTCTTCTCTGTTGCATAGGAAAAACAAATATGCCTCGACTTTGTTAAGCATGATGACATTCTGAGATTAGCAGAAATCTAGGTCAACATTCTTCTACAATCTTCAAAGTATTGCTTTCCATTAAAAATAACCCAACAGCTGGAATTTCTCCAAGCAACCTCTGGATAATTTTCATTAAATTGATAAACTCTCAGATATATTGTATATGAAAAGCTTTCTGAAATGGCACTGCTGCTGTGAAAGTGTTACTGGAACCAATTTCCGATGATCCCTACTCTTAATAAAAAGTATTCTGTCCTAGCATTAGAGAATGTGTCATTTGCCTGTAGATCTTTCTTAAAGCTACGGCAGTGGTCTCTGAAGAAGGAAAACAGGACATGTAGTCTACTTGCGTACCTGTGTGGATACCAGGCAAACACAAAGAGGTTCATGTTATTTGAACAGAATTTTAATGAAATAAAAAAAAATTAAGAGAAAAAAAATTCTAACTGGCTTTGATTTTAAGCGCCAAATATTTGTTTCCTTTCTCAGGCTAGATGGCCAAGTCAGTGGGTCGACTGATGCTTCAAACAACCAGTCCACTAGAATGACTGCCCATTCTTATGAAGCCAGCAAGAACTTCAGGTACTACCATGGTCAATTATGAAACCAATGACAGGACTATTCTTCTGTTTCTAATAAGCATCACATATACAACCTGATCCTTCTTTAGAAATGCAGAAATTTCTAATTTTATTAGTAGCTAAGCAGGCTCGCATAAAGGTGTTGAATTAGCAACTTGGTCATTGGTAAGTTGTGACTTCTGAATCGGAAAGTGTAAAATGTGATTTTTCCTTGAAAAGTCTACAGTTGTTTTTTTAAAGGATAATTGTGACATTGGTGTTGGCATTCTTTAGGTAGGCTTAGAAGTTTCATTTAACCAGATGTTATTATGTTAGTTAAGGGCCTTTTTTGTTTGGGGTTTGTGGGGCAAGTGTGGTTTGGAAATGGAAATGGGATGTCAGGGAAACAGACACTAAAACATGTTACACAAATATTCAAAATAACCTTCATGCTCTACAACAGTTAGTGAGTGACCAATTCTCACTGTAGTATTCTGGAAGAAGGCCAAGACAGTGGGAGGTAGGAACAAAATGGGAGACATACGGCAGTTTTGCACAAATGAATTAAAACCACTCTAACAATTTTATTTCAAAGGTTATAGTTGAGAAGTAATATAGCATCTTTGCATTGGGTTGAATAATAGCCTTGTTACTTTTAATTATTCCTGTACATACACTTTAAACATGCAGTGAATGTTTCCCCCCAGCTCCAATGCCGACACCAGGCCTGCGGGACCAAAGGATACTGTTGTGTACACGAGAACATATGTGGAGAATAGGTACTGGAAGTTCATTTAAAATATTTTGCTATACTTACAATTTTGAAATGAACACTGTTTAAAAAGAAATGGTATTATTTTAGAGTATGCTCGCTTTTTGCAAATAGAAGACCATCTAAAAGCACATTACACTCTAGGTATATAATTCTTTATAATGTTTTGTATATTAAATAGTTGTCAAAAAATCATAAAAATTAATTTGATGGACGAGATAACATTTTAATATAGCACATGTATACATAACAGGATAGCCATTTGAAAGTTTTCATATATGTTTATGTGAGAATGTGACTATATGTTTATAATTACCTTCTTAAAATCACACAAAAATGCTAATTTGGAGTTGCACTTTAATTAAATGGTCCTATCTACTATTGTTTACCTTTTATCTGACAGAAAGGGTATAACTTTTGGTAGATATACTCTGGCCCAAATTACAAGAAACTGATGTCCCACGGAATGTGTGGTTGTCTGATGGGTGTTGAGGAAAACATCAACTAAGGTCAGGGATTTACTATCCATTTGGTTTTCAAGGAGAATAAAAACAGGAACCAGTCTAATTGTGGGATAATGTGATGGTGGGGTACACAAAAGCCGATATGGGTGACACCTGTTAAACAGAGCCCATTTCAAAGAAACCAAAGAGCAGAGCATCTGGAGGGGTTCCAGGGGGAGGGGACTCGGGGAAATTCAGTACATTCAGTGTCAGAAGGTGAACAACAAATAAAAGTCTCTTAACTCCACACATAATTTATCTTGTAAAATACAACCCCCACATTTGATTTTTCTACTGAATCCAATTCTCCCTAAAGTCTACTCTGACAGTACAATGTGGTATAGAGGCCCTGGAATCAGATCTGGGGTTGAATCTTTGTCATTCACTGACTGTGTGGCCTTGGCACAGCTACTTATCCTCTTCAAGCCTCAGTTTGCTCATCAATACAATGGGAGTGATGATACATGTGTCATGCATAAATATGTGTAAACTCTTACTTATCGCTGTGGGTTGTGTATTTCATAAAGTAGATTCTATTTCTGACGGCAGTCTGCCTACAGGCAGTTTGGAGGGAAAGAGAGATTTCTCATGGAAAAAAATCCCAAGTGAGGGCGGTGGAGTTATTGCTCACACTATGAAATAACAGGAGCATATTGCTTCCAGTCCTGATATACTCACAGGTAGCATACGTACTTGGGAAGCAATTATGAGCGGCCAGTTGGTTAGTGCATTACAAATTTCATTTGTCTCCATGAAAGAGTGACATTTACAAACTGGAACCATTGAAGAAATGGAACAAAGACAACTTTTTAAAATTATATATATATATATATATATATATATATATATATACACACACACACATATACCACACACACATATATATACATATATATATGTGTGTGTGTGTATATATATATATTTTGCTTTCTTGGGTTTTCAAGTAAAAATAAAAAACTTCTATAGCTTGTGTAGAAGTTGAAGAGTCTGGTTCTTCGTGTGAATGGTGTCTATGTAAATGTCCTTGCCCTGGTTCTCATTTTATGTATTTCCTTCATGTTAGATCACATAGAACTTTCTTTTGGTAAACAAATGCGGAAGGTGTGAGCATACATTTAATGAGAAATGACAACGTCTTTTGCTGTGCACCCTTGACCCATTCTCTACATACTTGGTAGATATGTCAGCTTCTGTCAAGTTGGAGGTAGTTTGTGTATCAGTATTTCTCCAGATTATAAAAAGGTATCAGTATATTGTCCTGGCTTGTAATGACACAAAGATTATTATAATAAGGCTGCACGAGGAGGTGTGTGTGCTTTCTCACCTGCATATGGGTATATACATGAATACTGGGGAAATAGCCCAGGTCTCACATGTCCATATGTGTTGCTTCTAGTAAATCACCAAAGGATGGCTATCAGGAGAGTATCTCTGGAAAATACATACAAACTGTTTATTCAACTTCAGATAGGTAAGTATATCTATATTTCCATACAGAAAAGTCTATATACACACACACTTGTATGATATTGTCCATTGTACTTGGAGATGATGTTCCTGCTGGTGATTGTTATACACAGAGTGGGGCAAAGTAGGTTTACAGTTGTGAGTATGTGAAACACAGAGTTCATCCTTGTATTATTATTTATTAATTACTGTATTATTTTCCATATGAACAACTGTGAACCTACTTTTGCCCCACCCTGTATGTGTGTGAAGTACAACCACCTCTGCATGGGGAATGTGCTCCTTGGCTTCTGGGCTGTGGCTAATGCCCTGTATTCCAATAGAGCTGTCCGTGCCTTCTGGCTGCCTCCCAGCTGCTGTTGCTGATTCCCAGGAGTCCCCGGGACCGCCACATTATCAGAGTCTAGGATTCACTAGACTGTGCCCTCAGCCCTTCCTCATTGTGGTTTCCCAGAGCCATCTCACCTTACAGACAGCTGCGTGGATATGCTGTCATGGCCCACTCTGGGCCCACACTCCGTTCCCAGGAGGGGGTTACAATAAGTATCAATTTTGTGCTGGTAAACTGACCCCAGGCTTTGCTGTTGGTGATCATCTTTTACCATTTAATGTTCAGTGGTGCACATAGATGGCACTCATGAGAGTGTGGCCAGCAGATTTCCAGTGGAGGAAATGAAAATCAATAACCCCTGGAAACCAGCCTTAATGCACATGTCCGATAGTCTGCTGATGGTGTTTCTCTGTAGAAGGGGCTGGAAATAAGGCTCGTCGAGGGTAAAAACATGTCTTAATTTTATGCACAACTTCAATTTGTAATGCAGTGCTTGACACTGACCAATTACTCAAGAAATGTTTTCTGAAAAACATGACCCAGTGTTTTGCTTGCTAAGGGAAACATGGATGGACCCAGCATCAAAATGATATCCCCTTTCTGTCATTTTTATAAAATCTTGCCCATCCACAGTGCTCTTTGAGTGTCTTGCCTTTAAGTCGTCACTCTTTGAGGAGTGAAGTCATCTGCACATGCATGAGACACAGATATGGTCAAGGTGACCAAATACCAGAGCTAGAGTCCTAATGATACTTAGAAAACATCTTTGACTATCAGTATGATTTTAATAAGGACAGCACCAACATCCGAACTTTCCCTGGGCTTATATTTGTATTGTTAACTTAAGGACAGAAAACATTCTTCACAGAAATAGTGCTCTTAATATGAGGAATTTCAGTCCTGTTCAAGTGGTCCTTGAAATTTTTCTTAGTGCTCAGAGCACAGGTTAATTTTCTGTTAAGACCAGTCAGTCAAGCAACTTTTTCTGTTGATTATTGTGTGAAATGAGCCATGTCCCCACAGTTCCTATCTAAGCATGCAAATCCCTTTTAAAGTGGCTTCCCACTTTACAGGATTAAGAGAAACTCCTCTGCTCACTATTTATGGGCCTTCAGAATCTGCTCCTGCATATTGGCTGCTGGTTAATCACTCCAGACACCCTCACTGAGTAGCACTTTGGTACCACCTGCTCACTATGCTTGGAATCCCCCATCACCCCTCCCCACCTTGCTGAGCTCACCTTGAGAGCTCCTTCATCTTCAAGGAGTCGCATAATACTTTTCCACAAGCATGTTCTGCGTTCTGCCCAGGTTTGGTTGCTCCCTTGGCTGTCTCTCCTAGCTCTTTCCACATGTCTGTGATATGCCGCGACCATCTGATCCCACACCTGGCTACCCCAGTGACAGGACGCTTCTCACTGGAGGAGGCTGTCTCTCTCTTCTTTATATTCCCGCTCCTAACTTAGTGCCTCTGGAAGAATGATAGAGCATGCCTGTGTTCTACTCTTAAAGTGCTTGCATGGGACATTTCTCTGTGTGTGTACATATGTATGTATGTGTGTGTGTATGTATATATGAGTAATCCATAGGAAAATATCTGCAGGAGTATATAAGCAAGTAGCTACAGAGTGAGGTGAAAGAGGGAAGTGTTATCTCTATACATAAGGGCTAGGAAGAGGTTACTAGAAGACTGAACATGTAAAACCAGACAAGGTTATCTACTCCAATCCCTTTCCTCTCCCACCTCCTCCTCCCTGCCATTTCCCTCCTCTCTGCTTCTCGTCCTGGGCTGGATGACAGGATGGTGGCTCCTGAGCATGGCTCGTGCATTTCAGCAAAGCCAGTCTGGCAGTCCCCATGGGCAGGCCCTAAGTTAGCACAGGAGCCCTGGGCCAGGTGGCCTTCACTCAGACCCTGACCCTGCTCCTCACGGGCTGCATGACAGGTTCCCTTCTGTGCCTCCGTTTCCTCTTCTGTAAAATGATGATGAAAACAATAGCATCTGCTTCTCAGAGATGTTGAGAAGAATAAATGAGTTTAAATAAGCAAAGTGCATGGAAAATATATGTACGTAGTGAGCATATTAGCACTATATACATACTGGCTATTTTTATTGGACCACCCCACTATATACCAAATTCTGGAAATTTCAGCCTGCATGCCAACACCCTGAAACTAGTAAAGTCCTCAAGGTGCTAGTTAAGACAGTCCTAAGACTTTTCATTAGGAAAAGAATTACAGTCGAGGCTGTGGTGTGACCCAAGTTCTTTTGGACTTGCTGATTAAATACCCACAGTTAATTTATTATTGAACATTTTTCCAAAGCAAATAATAAAACTCTTTTTCTTCATCAAATTTGTGTGTGTGTGTGGGGGGGTGTTATATCATGTTGGAGAATATAAATTTTGTCATAAAATGTAGCGCAGAATTCTGTCTTACAATGACACCAAGAGTAGTGTCATAGGGGAGCATTTTGGTGACTTTAGACCCTAGACTCTAGGGTACTATGGACCCATAGTTTATGAATTTACCAACACACTCTTGAATGGATTTTTATTTTTGTCCTACTGAATGTTCTGAGATTAAAATTTTCTATTAATCTACAACATAATTTTTCTTTGATATATGTAAATTAATCATTCAAAACCCTCTTTGAGCTTCCAGGGGCACTTATGAATTAGTTCAATTAGGAAACTGTAATTATCTTTGCCCTGCCCAGATGCACTTTTGATTGCTAATGAATTAATAATTTGAGACTTTCCTTTATGTTAATTCTTTGATGTTATTTTTAAGTAACTAGAAGAATCAATTCCATTACTAGAATAAGTAAATCCCAGACTTTCCTTGATTTTTACATGATTTCCTCAAGTATCAACAAAATTAATGTATTTCCACATGACTTTATGGGAAATACATCTGTCTTTGGTATAATGACAAATTTATTTTTAATTGTTTATACCTCTATAGGTCTGTCATTGAAAGAGATATGTGTACTTACTGCCGAAAACCCTTGGGCACAAAAACCAAAATGATTTTAGATGAATTACAAATTTGCTGCCATTCCACTTGCTTCAAGGTAAGGATATGTTTATCGTATTTAACTAAATGTAAAGTTGCATAATGACTGGAATAAAAATAATTATTTAATGAAATACATGAGAGACGAAGTTAAAGCTTTCAGAAACGCTCTCATCCACATTAATAATGCAATGCTTAAATATTCCTCAGAGTTCTGCAGCCCAACCTCAAAGGTTTATAATTACTGTCTTGGCGTCAGGCTGCGACTTGGTTACTGACGCATTTGTTCCTCTTACCCTGGAGATTTAAACATATAAGACGATAAACACTTGTTTTCTTTATAAAAGTTTTTGCAACATTTTAATAAATCATGCATTGCATAAAATATATAATGACGTCTAAAAAAAAGGAAAAGAAATTGTTGAGAAGAAAGCTAGCAGCTCCTTATGTCATGACGTTAGGACTGAAAGGCTTGACAGTTGCTGCTTTCGAGAGCATAATTACTTACTGTAATGACAATAGCTTACATAGTAGAATGCTGTATGTCTGTGTTTTCGTATTTTATTGCTTTTACTTCTCACAGGAATATTGGGTAGGTCAACATTATAGGTTTTGGTGTAACTAGATGAGCACTGAACTGGGAATCTGAAGGTCTGAGTTTGAATTGTAAGTCTGTCAATCGCTGTGGCTGTGTGACTTTTGGACAGTCATCTAACTTAGCTTGTCCTCAGTTTTCTCATCTGTAAAATGAGGAAGCTGACCAGATGAGTGGTTCTTGACCATGAATGTACATTATAATCATCTGGGGAGATTAGGAAAAAATCACAATGCTTGGGATCAGCACTAATTTAATCAAGAATCTCAGAGATAATTTCTAGGCATTGGTGTTTTAAAATCTCCTAGATAGATCTAATGGGAAGCCAGTTTGAGAACTATTTGCCTAAATCTATGGATTCTTTCTGTGCTGACATTCTGTACTTAATGGAAATTATCTAATTCAGTCAAGTAGCTGTAATACTTTGACAACTGATTGTTGTTGTTCAGATAGAGCAGGAGGGAGACAGAGGAGGAGAGAGAGAAACATCGAAGTGAAAGGGACACATGGAGTGGTTGCCACCCGCACGACCCAACCAGGGGCTGGGACAAACTGCAACCGAAGCACCTACGTGCCCTTAGCAGGAACCGAACCCGGGTCACTCTGGTCCGCAGGCTGACACTCTAACCGCTGAGCCAAACCGGCCAGGGCTAATTGTAGTTCTTTATTTAAAATTAGTATGCAGCAAACTTTTTAAAACAAGGGAATTCTTGTTTTTACTTTTGGTAAGTACGAATAATTTATTTGTTGTATTTTGGATAATTTATTTCCATTTTCAATTTAATTATAAAATACTACTAAGAATAAAAATGTACCTACACTTCTAGAAAAATTTGGGTTATTCTATAGCCACGACAATAGAGAACCAAGTGGACTGGTTTAAACATGTCGAACTGATCAATGACAATTTGCTTCAATGAATTGGCCTCCAAAAGCCAACCAATCAGTGACAGCCTCATGTTTGAAAGTCAGCCAGTCAACAGCTGGACTTGCTCCCATGAACACAGGTCTACAGCAGATGTCAACCCTATCCTGCCTCCTAACCAGCACAACTCAAAACCAGGTTCCCCTATACTGTATGTGAGATCAGAAATGTGTTCTGCTCAATGTTTGCGTAATGTCCAGTGTGTATGCCTGGACAACACAGGTCTCTGTTTGAGATAGTAAGTGGTGATCTTGTCCTTGGCATAACCAACTTTTGAAAATCTGTATCTGCTCTATAGTGAGTGAAGGAGAAACTTCAGTGGTAGATATGCCCTGAAATGCACACCTGCTTAGTAGAGGGACGCTGTGAGAATATGTTTGAAAGTTCTGCATGTGGATTATAGACAAGTACACTCTCACTTGCCCTGTGGATTCTCATGAGGCTGCATCTGAGTGTTAATATGAAGAATAGTACTGAATGAACTGAAAAGTCTTTCTATCATGTTACACTAAGAATCTAGACTTTATTTGTGATGAAAATTTATATATTTTTTCCTTTAGTGTGAAATATGCAAACAGTCTTTGGAAAACCTGAGAGCAGGAGACAGTATTTGGATTTACAGACAGACAATACACTGTGAACCTTGCTACTCCAAAGTTGTGGGTAAGTGTTAAGCTCTGTAAGAAACTGTTACTTTTGCTCATATTGAGCATTTAATATAGTTGAAATTGAAGGAAATGGAAATTTATTGTTTTCAATAAAGCAAAAAATATTTTATTATATTTAGTTAAGAATTCAGCTGCAGATAGTATAGATGTATTTTATTTTATGGTATAAAATCAGTCAACACTTACTTATTTTAAAATCCTCACCCAAGGACATTTTTCAATCTATTTTCAGATGGGGTTGGGGGTAGAGAGAAAGAGAGAGAAACATGATTCAAGAGAGACGCATTGATTGGTTGCTTCCCGCAAGACCCTGACCAGGGCGGGGGACTGAACCATAACCAAGTATATGCCCTTGACCGGAATCGAACCCACAACTCTTTGGTCCTTGGGCCGATGCTCTAACCACTGAGCAAAGCTAGCCAGGGCCAGTAAACATTTATATTATCTTTTGATATCCTACTACACATAGATACAACTAAACAAGGAGGTTATTTATTATAGAAAACTTTTTAGAAAACTTTTTATTTTTCCAAACAAAAATGGATATTCTCTGCTCCAATAATTGTTGGAATTGAAGACCATATCTGTGAATGACTTTTTATATTTGTACTGAAATATACTTTTTTTTACCTAATTTGATTATTATGCTAACTGCCTTTTAAAATGAGAAATTTAAAGTTAATTAAATATAATTATATATGCTATATATATAAAATTTTAAATATACTTTTATCAGTTTAAGATCAACATTATTATAATGTGGGTTCTTCATTAGCATAAATGATGTAAGAAAAAAAAATTAATGACCTGCATTTTAAACTCACATTTTATAAAATTAGCATAAAAGCTTGAAAAGTTTATTTAAAAGATATGCACAGCATCCAGTAAGTTAGTAAGCTAAAATTCTATAAAACTTCATTGGTTTTTTAAAAGCCAGCATCAATATTTTATTTTCAATTTGTAGTAAATAGATAGAATAACCACAATGATATCGGGGAGCTGGTCAACAGCACTATTACAGGACTGGCCAGTTTCCTGGTGAATGAGAGAGGATTGTTTGTGATTCTCACATGGGATCCAAAGTATAAAATTTAGTGACAAATGTGTAATATAAATGAGGTACTAGGCAGCTATATCTGGAAAATATTCTGAAAAATATTAAGAAAACCACATTTCATTCACTGCAGAATCAATTACAAGAACAAACCTAAGTATACTCATACTCTACCTTCTATTTTCTGCTCTCCCCAGCCAGTTCTCATGGTCCAGTTTCTCCCTGATTTAGCAGCCTTATCATGATCCAGTATTATATCAAGAGCCTTGATGTGTATGGTGGCAGCTCTAAAACTTTCAGTCTTTTGGAAGTCCATGCTATGGCTTAGGAGGTGTAGCCACCAAAAGACTCAGAGTCATTGTGTCTTCCTCCCTGTCCATGTGCACTCCACAGCCATTGCAATTTTTTTTAAATCCTCACGAGAGGATATGTTTTTATTAATTTTAGAGAGAGAGAAACATTGATGTGAGAGAGAACTATCAATTGGTTGCCTCCCATCTGCACCCTGATGGGACATCTAACGTGCAAACTAGGTATGTGCCCTGACCTCTGACTGGGAATTAACCCGAAACCTTTTGATGTTTGGGATGAAACTCCTGAGGCACCAGCCAGGGTGGCATTGCATTTTTATAGTAAATTTATGTTGTCAAGACAAAACTCTCAGGCATCTCATAAATGTGACTACCAGACATCAGTCCTTCATATCTATGGTGTGACCAAAAACCATAGTGATGAATGCAGTAGAAGGACTAAGTAAAATGCTGAATCTACTATGACCCCCTTGATGAATGATTACTTAAAACATTTTTACTTACAGGCTTATTTTTGTGCTAAATTTGCATATCTAACTGTTATTTTCTTTTAAATTTTCAGCAAAGTGGATTCAATAATTCTGGCACATGGAAATCAAGCTGAAAGCATTCATTAAGGAATTAAAATTTTTATTTTAAGAATACGTAATTCAGAAAAGCTTTTACACTGGAGATTGACTTTTATATACAATGAACAATTCTGCTATTGCATAAATAACCTAATTGCCTTCAATAAGGTCATATACATAAAGGGAACCATCTGTTATCTGGCTAGATTCAGTCATCAAAAATTCAAGTGGTTTCTGTTACCAGTGTGAAGGGAATGGTGTTCCTGATGGCTGTGAGCACTGTCACCCCTACAAGGGCCACCTCAGCTCCATATGCAGGCTGTGCATCATGGCTTCTGTTACAAACAAGTTTCTCATTTTCTCACCTTTGTTTCCCTAAGAATTTGAATTTGCAGACATTATTGACATCTTGACAAACTGTTGAGAAGGCAAGCTATGTTTCCTTTATGTGCAAAAGAAATGTTGATAGTAATTTTCTTATAAAATTTGGCAGAAAGATAGTAACATAAAGTTATATGGAACCCAGAAAATCATTTGAACTTTCTAGGTCTCTGTGATTTTACCTGTAACACGAGGGGCATTGACAATTGTTCCTAAGATCCCTTTCTGCTCCTCAAATTATTCTAAGGCAAGTTTTGTTGTTGTTGTTGTTGTTTTCACTTTCTAGAAATATATCTGAATATGTTTGTTAATCATATTGAACTAGAGAGGACATCTGAACAATTTAACCTTAGTGTCATCCTTTATTTTATTGCAGATATAATTTTAAAAAACAGAAAGACATTGATTTATGGGTAATGGGTAAAATTATATGACATGTATTTTACATATTATAATTTGTTAATTTTTTGCATGTATTTCAAAATCTGGGTATATAAATATGAGAAAATCATGGTTATGGACTTATAAGGACTTCTTTAACATGTTACATCTATTCATATTACATATACTTTCTATTTACAGATGGCTTATAACAATAAAATGAACTCAGTGACAGAATCTTTTTGTGGCATGTCTATAAATATCATTCACTGGCATCGGTTTTGTCAATTATAGTGATCACAATTTACTATATTCTAGACCACACTGATTCACTTAATTATTTAGCTGCTCCAACTATAGCTTTTATTTTTAAAGAACTTTTCTTATGGAGTTGAAAATTGAATAATCATATGTGAGAAACTAGCATTATTGTTAAGATTGAGAAATTGAACTTATAAACTATTTTATGTGTACATAGCAACTGCTTCTTGAAGGAAGGCATATGGAACATTGAGGAGAGGGGGGCATTTGGGGGAACTTTAAGGCAGTTGTAAAAAACTGACATAAACTAGGGAGATTAAAAAAGATAATCATGTATTTTCCAAATGTTGATAAATTTGAAGAATATTCTTCTGTATGATGATTTCAAGCATCTGCTCTTCTCTGAGACTAGTCCGCAGTGTTAAACACAAAATGCTTATCAAAATTCAGCAATGAATAATTGTTGTCCTATCAAAAGGAGCCAGGAAAAAACAATGAATAATAATGTGATATTCATTAATTTATGCAAGATGAGAAGCAGTGGTAATTGAGCCATATGTTTTATTGTTCTTTTATTACATGCTATCAGAGTGGATCAAAAGAAATAATTTTCTTAGAGTTGGAATTTGTGGCAGAAAAGAATGGATGGACTAGTATCCCCTCTTTTATACAAAGTGAATTAACATCTCAATGCCTTTGTAGTAATTAAGAATCATTTGAATGTCATCTTTAAATTCTTCTACTTTATAATACTTCATTTAAAAAACCCTAAAAGAAATATATTTCTTATTTTTCTGAAGCTGTTTTAATGGACCTTTCTTCTACTATAATGTATTAAATTAAACTAAAAGCTGTTGTGAAAATGGAATAATTGTGAAGTGGAAAGAGAAGGACTTCTGATTCAAGTCAGCTTCATCATGTCTGGGTTTATTCTCACCATAGGAATGACAGATCCCTAAATTTGGAAGATCCCCTTATATAACAGCCAATTCAGAGATGTCTCTAGCCCTGGCCGGTTTGGCATAGCAGTTGGAGCGTCAGTCTGCAGACCAGTCTTGGGTTCAATTCCAGTCAAGGGCACGTACCTTGGTTGCTGTTCGGTCCTGGCTCTGATCGGGAGGCAACCAATTGATGTCTCTCTCTCTCTCTCTCTCTCTCTCTCTCTCTCTCTCTCTCTCACTCTGTCTGAAGATAAATGGAAAAATATCCTTGGGTGAGGATTTTTTTTTAAAAAAGAGAGATGTGTCTGAGAGCAATTAATTGTTCCATAGGACAATATCCTTCTAAAAAAGCAAATTGGAAGAAATATAATAATCTCAGAAATAGAATTTGTTAAAATAGCTTTCTTTCTTTCTTTCTTGCCTGCTTTCTTTCTTTCTTTCTTTCTTTCTTGCTTTCTTGCTTTCTTGCTTTCTTGCTTTCTTGCTTTCTTGCTTTCTTGCTTGCTTGCTTGCTTGCTTGCTTGCTTTCTTGCTTGCTTTCTTGCTTGCTTTCTTTCTTTCTTGCTTTCTTTCTTTCTTGCTTTCTTGCTTTCTTTCTTTCTTTCTTTCTTTCTTTTCCTCACTCAAGGATATTTTTCCATTTTTGTTCAGATAGAGTGGGAGGGAGAGAGAGGAAGAGAGGGAGCGAGAGAGAAACATTGATGTGAGAGAGACACATTGACTGGTTGCCTCCTGCATGACCCCAACCAGGGCCAGGGTCGAACCACAACTGAGGTACGTGCACTTAACTGGAATCAAACCTGTCACTCTTTGGTCTGTGGGCCCATGATCTAACTGCTGAGCCAAACTGGCCAGGGCAGTATTCTTTATTTTAATAAAGCTGAGAAATAACAATCTATTCAAGAAGTAATCTGTACATCCTTAGTTGTGTGGTTGCAATCACTTTTACAATCAGAGCTGAGTGAGGAAAGGGTCCAGCTCTCCCTGTGGTTCACTCACTCACTTGCTTACTACAATAGAAAATCAGGAGTGCTTGATCCAGAGCTTTACCGAAACAAGGGACTGTTTGGTCTACAACATGGAAAACTGACAAATAATTTTTTCTTGGTACCCCTGAATTTACTGTTTATTCTGGCACAATGTAAATAAATGGCTTTTAGAGTTTCACCTATTCGATATTACTCAACACTTCCCAGAGGCACCCATAGGTTTCTGCATTCACTTGGGTAGGCCATTTCCCTTATGGGCCTGCTCCCTGCTAGTTAAAATTGGAGGTTTAGAGTTTTGGCTTTCTAACGTACGCACAAGCTCACCCATTGAATGGATCTCTTCCTGTTCCATTCTTAGATGGTCTCTTTTATTAGGTGCCTAAGAGCTGTCCATTGTTTTGTATATACTTTAAAATTTCATGTTAACTTTATCACGACACAAAAGTTGGGCACCATACTGAATCTTATATACTGGATCCTTGTCCTGCCATTTCTGAGAGATTATTATTGAAATGTTCAAATACATGAATTAGGTAATGGTTTCAGTTTTTTTTTACTGTGAGAGAGAAAATAGAACATCATCATTGCCTTATAAACGTCATCTGGGAAGGACCTTTTACTTCATTGCCTCTGTATTCTCTTTGATACATTCTTCTCATTAATACATTGAAATGCCCAATTGTTCTAGGCTATGCATAAAAGAAAACCCTGGCTTATAATCTACCATCATTCATTCATTCATTCATTTGTTCTATTATTCAATAACTTAAAAATCTTCATTTAGAACCTATGTTCCAGATCTTAGTGATGTCCAACAGCCAAATTTCCTCATGAAATTTACTTTCTAAAGGGACAGGGGAGGAGTAGTTTGAAAGACAGAAAACACAATAATTTCTGAAAGTAAGAAATTACAGTGGTTAAGTGAAGGGGAGTTTTCAAAATAATGTGGTGAAAATAATAGTCAAAATCAGATCATTTTCTAGGTTAAACCTGTCCTCACTTCTTTTAAACAAAATGAACTAGAAGTTCCAAGATGCCAGGAAACAAAGACCAGTCAAATAATTTTTAAGCTTCCTCCTTTCCTCATACTAGACAATATTCAGATAGCTTTCAATTCTCTGCCATGGAGCGAGTTATACCAAATGGCTGTGTCCTCCTAGACCTCAGACTAAAGTCACTCACTTGACTAAAGGAGCTCCTAGGCATGCTCTGGTGACTGCAGTCAAAGGAGGGTCTGAGACAGCCCCACCCAGGTGGGGAATCAATGGGCTAGGTGCAGTTTCCTCACCTCATTTAAGGCACAAAGAGTCAAGTCCCTTTCTGTTTTCCAAATGGAAGCATTAGAAGGTTAGGCAGCAGCATTTTAGATCTAGGAAGAACCTCTCACAGGAATTTTATAAACATTACATGTTCTCCCGTTGCAATATGAATAATGTATCTGGTGGAAAGGAACATTCAGATCTTGGTGTAACTTTCTTGACATTCACAATTTGTTAATTTTATATTCTTGCCCAAGAGAAAAAGAAAGATCAGGAGCTTCAAGAGCCTTCAGGCCTATAACAGCAAATTGGATTGAAAGTCTCCCATAGGAAAGTGTTTCAGCCCCAAAGCAAGTGCAACTTTGGTGTGGTTTAGAAGTGGAAAGATGGCCAGGGGGCTGGAATTTGTGAACACTGAGCGATGAGGCTGAAGAAGCAGGCAAGAGACAGGTCATGGTAGTTCCTTTCATAATGGATCATGAAAAATTTACATCATCAAATACATGGTGACAATTAGTAGTATTCATTTATCCTTTTAGATTTGTGTCATTAAAATATTATGGAATATTATTAATTTCATTAATGGGTTTACATTATATTGAGACAAATATAGTCTACTGATTTTTGACAAAAGCACAGAGGCAATTCAATGGAGAAAGAACAGTCTTTTCAACAAAAGCAACAAATGGTACTAGAACAATTTGACACCCATATGAGAAAGAAAGAAAGAAAAGAACACAGACACAGACCTTATATCCATATTTCACAAAACTTAACTCAAGATGAATTGTAGATTTAAATGTATAAAGTAGGACTATAAACTTGCTAGAAGAAAACATAGAAGAAAATCAACATGACCTTGAGCTTGGTGAAGAATTTTTAGATACAACACAAAAAGCAAGACATGTAAAAGAAAAAAATGGTAAGTTCAATGTTATTAAAATTAAAAACGTATGCTCTGTGAAAGACACTGTTAAGAGAATGAAAAGATAAGCCATAGACTGGGAGAAAATATTTGCAAAACAGACCTGATAAAGAACTTGTCCCCATATGCAAATAACTTAAAACTAAACAATAAGAACACAAAAACTTAATTAAAAATGGGCAAAATATCTGAACAGACACAACCAAATATCTACAGATGGCAAATAAACATATGAAAGAAAGATGTTCAACATCATTTTTAATTAACAATGAGAGACTATGTTAGGCCTCTAAAAACTAAAAACTGAGAATACCAGTTGCTGGTCAGGATTTAGAGAAACAGGAACACTTCTTCATTGCTAATGGAAATGCAAAATGGTACAGTCACTTTGAAAAATAGTTTGACAGTTTCTAACAAACCTAAGCATAGTCTTACCATATGATTCAGCAGTTATGCTCCTAGGTTTTTACCTAACAAATATGAAAGCATGTCCATATAAAAAGCGGCACATGAATGTATATAGCAATTTTATATAATCATCAAGAACTGTAATAAACTAAGATGCCCTTCTATAAACAAATGGCTCAACAAACTGTGGTACATCCATGTAATGGAGTAGTATTCAGCAATAAAAAGGAATGAACTATTCAATTTGCAGAGACATGAATGCTTCTTAAATGCATATTGCTAAATGAATAAAGCCAGGTTGAAAAGGGGTCTATACTGCATTATTCCACTTATATGACATTCTGGAAAAGGCAAAACCATACACATTCAAGCAGATATGTAATAGATGAGAGTTCAGGGCAATGGAGAGTTAAATAGGTGAAGCACAGGGATTTTTAAATTTTTTT